CGGATGCTAAACTCCCAGCTGCATGTGACTTGGGGGTTGAAGTATGATGTTACCAGTCCAAGCTGGGCCAGTGTACCCAGGCGACATATGAAATGACTGCTCTGAGCCGCCCAGGACTTCAGAAGACGAGCCCCCAGGCTGTCCTGGAAGTGCGTGGCTGAGAGAGATGAGGAGGGAAGCAAATCCTCTGGCTAGCCAGTGACCTCGGGCTAGGTCCTCCCACACACTGAAGGCATGGGAGCAGGCCCTCGACCCCGCTGCGGTCTGGGGCATTGACGGGGCATGGGCCCAGTTCCCTAAGTGGATTCGAGTTAGAGTCAGGCTGGAGGGAGAGCCTTTCTCTGCTGTGGCCTTTGTTGCTTTTGAACAGGACCAGCAATGGTGGATATGGCATCTTTGCTGCCCTAGGAGTGGAGAGATACTGAGCCCCCTCAGTGGGCCTTGTAAGTAGCTGCAGTTTCCTGGGCACTCAGCCCAAGCCTTATTGGTAGTCTGTATCCCATTGGTGCCCACTGGGGAGGGCCAGAATCCAGTGACATGCCCTGGCCATCAGAAACCTCCGGCTATCCCTTATCCAGTGTCCCTACAGCCGCCCGAGGCAGCACAGGCAGGATGCCGTCCACCCCAGTCAGTTGATGCTCACGCTCGTGGCAGCTGACTTAGCCTGGAGGAACAGAGCCCAGGAAGCCAAGGCCAGCCCTTTCCCAGCCTCTCATGTATCTGAGCAAGGACAGTACAGCAGGGACCCACTGCTGCCCCCCACTGGCAGGGTCCATGTCCCCGGGCCCTTCCCACTTGGGCTGCATATTTCTGAGGGTCCCTCACAGGTCCTGAGTGTCCCTAGGGAATGCTGAGGCTCTCCAGGCATCACTGGCAGCCTCCCTGAGGTGAGGTGCCACTTATGGGGAGACCCCCCCCACCTGCCCCGCACCAGGCATGGGTGTAGATCCCTCCACACAGTTTTATGCTCAGCCCAGTACAATCCTTTGGGACCAGACGCTGACATTGCTGCCACCATCCAAATGAGACCCAGCACAGGAGTGCCATCCTAAGCCGCATGAGGGACTCATGGGCTCCGGTTCCCAGAACTGCAGAGACCCAGGGCACAGATGGGAGTGAGCGAAGGAGCCGCCTGTGTAATAGGCCTGGCATCTCCTCTCCCTGCCCCTCCTCCATCCCACCCAGTGTCCTCCCATGACAGCCTGCAGCTGGCAGGGCTGGTGCCACCCACGCCCCTCCTGTCCCCTGCTTGGTGGCTCCTCTTGCTTGCCACCCCAGCCCTCCTGCTGTGAGTCGCCTCTGCCAGGGAGCAGGTGGGGGGCACGGGGTGGAGAGTTGGGGGAGGGGCCGGTGTGAGTAGGCAGAGGAGCTCTGCCTTTTTTCCTCTAGAGAAAGGGAGAGGAAGGGAGAGTCACTTGCCGAGATTGACTACAAATGTCACTTCAGCTTGTTCTTTGGGCCTGCTGCCCTGGCTTCCAGGTGCTGCAGCCACACCCTGAGTGTCTTTGGGCTCCAAAGTGGGCTGTCCCTCCTGTTCCCAGCCACCAGCTTGTTCTTTGGGCCTGCGGCCCTGGCTTCCAGGTGCTGCAGCCACACCCTGAGTGTCTTTGGGCTCCAAAGTGGGCTGTCCCTCCTGTTCCCAGCCACCAGCTTGCTACTGCTGCCTCTTGGGCATTTTTGGAATTAAACAGGTTGTCACCTGTAAAGCTCACAGATGGTGCCTGTCATGTGGCAGGCACTTCGGAAGGACGTGTCACATGCTGTGGCCTGGCTGCCAGCACCTGGGGCGCAGGCCCTGCCTCTGTCATCTTTAAGGTGATGAGTACTAGTCCTGTCACTTGTATAGTGGCAGCATAGAATAGTTCCATCCTGCTCCCTGAACCCTGAGAGGTTCACATCAGCTCCCGAAAGCTGTAGAGCAAACAGTCCCTGGATCGGAAAGACAGCTTGAGCCCTAAGTGATATACTGTCCTACCCCAGGGCACAGGAGGTTTGCATTGGCCCGGTTTCTGCAAGTGGGTTGCAGACTGTCTGGGGTCTTCCGGTGGTTTTCATGGGGCCATGGGGAAGCCTTGTCCTGAGCCCCTGGCTGCTTTGCTTGTGCCTCTGTGACAGCATTCACAGAGGACACAGATTCTTCAGTGTGTGGAAGCCGTGGCGGATGCAGGCCAGGGATTTGTCACAGCCCCGGAGCCTGGAGAAAAGGCCTTGGCTTTGAGGCTGAACTGGGTCACCTGCTCTGGGGCTGTGGGGGATGGGGGCTGCCTCCCCTGCTGTGAGTCACTCGCCATGGGTGTGCATGCTCTGTAGAGTCTTCTTCTCCCAGGTCCCTTGGTGGCCTGGGCCTTGCTGGTGCCCAGCCCTGGGTCCCCGCACATGCTGCTGAGCTCAGGGACACCTGAGGTTTGTATCTGACTGAGTAGACAACCTAGCAAGTCAGACTTGCACACTGAGATCATAGCAGAATCACCTAGAAAAAGCTTCCAGGCCTCGGCATTCCCGAGGGTGGCATCTCAGGACACTGCACTATCATTAGAATTCAGGCAGGCGGGTGGATAATTGCAGGCTCCACTTTAGTAAAAAATTTGAGTAAAATCGTGTTGGGTATTTTTTGTTTTGTTATTTTCTGATAAGTACTTTTATGGGAGTGTGGATGAATGTTGTATTCTAGCTGAGGGGTGTTCCTCTGGCAGGAGAATAAATAGCACATCTTTCTCCTGAGCTTCCCTAACCAGCCCCCTGGGTTAGCAGGTGTGTGATGTATGTGTGTCACTGCCAAAGTAAATGAGCCAGCTTATATACAGCTATGCGCCCTTTTCTTGTTTGGGGTGCAAATTCTCATCTCCTGTTTGAGCTCCTAACAGGCAATGGGACCCAGGAGCTCCATCTCTGGGCTTCCCATCAGAGAGGGGGGAGGGAGAAGAGATGGAGAGAGAGGAGAGAGAGACAGAGAGACAGAGAGAGAGAGAGAGACAGAGAGAGGCTGCTCCCTGGCACCTGACCTGGTCCCCCACTCTCTTGAGCTGGCGCTCCACAGGGGCCTTGAGTACATTTTGTACGAGGGGCCCACTGCTTGCTGGGTGGATGGCATCTTGAAGGAGTGGGGAGGCTAGGGCTCCTGCTGACACTGGGGTGAGGCCTGAGCCTGGGGAGGAAGGAAAACCTCCCGGGTGGGTGGGTTCCAGTTGTCCTGTTTCCACAGCATTCTAGACCGCACTGAACACTTCAGGCATCTGGCCACAGAGAAGACTCAGCCGGGCCTGAGACACGAAGATTAGCTTGCATACCTCCTAAACAGCCTTTTTAAAATGGGTGCCTGCAGGCTTCCTTTTCTGTTGGTCTTAGAGTTCCCATTGTGAGGAAGGCACCCCTCTGAGGTTTGGATTGGCATATCCATTATGGGCTCCACATTCTGGGAGGGGCTCAGCACTCAGCAAGAGGCAGGGGTTTGAAATGCCAGCTCCACCCCCTCCCCATCCACCCCTCTCAGTCTTGGCAGAGAAGCAGCCGCTATCCTTAGTGCTAGTGCTGAAAAGCCTGCCTTTTCCCTACACACACACACACATACACACACACACACACACACTCACACAAAGACACACGCGCGCACACACATATACATATGCGCGTACACACACACATACACACACGGCACACACAGACACACCACACACTTTCACACACATACACACACAGACACGTGCGTGCACACACAGACACACACACCACACACTCTCACACAAAGGCACACACACTCACAGACACACACACAGACACACTCTCACACACACAGACACACACACATGCACACACAGACAGGCACACACTCACACATGCAGGCATGGGTGCGCACACAGACACACACCCACACACCACACACTCACACAGACACACACATGCACACACACATGCACACACTCTCTCACACACACTCACACATATGTGCACACACACACACAGCAGAGCAGCAGCACTAGTTGGCAAGATAGGGTGTGCATGAGCTAGAGTGAGAGCTTCGAGCTGTTTCCTTCCACTCTGATGCTGTGGCTGTGGCCAGGTGTAACCCTCCCTTCTGGACAGGGAGCTTTTTGGGGTTTTACTGTTGCTGTTTCGATCAGTTTTTGTTTTTTAGATTTCATTTTATTATTATCTTGTGGGCATGAGTGTTTTGCAGATATGTCTGTGTACATGCCTTTGTGGTGCCCTCAAAGGCCAAAAGAGAGTATGGTGTCTCCTGTTATTAGAGTTATAGATTGTGAGCTGCCATGTGGGTGCTGAGACTTGAACCCAGGTCCCCTGGAAGGGTAGTCAGTGCTCTTAACCACTAAGCCATCGCTCCAGCTTTTAAAAGCTTCCTGACACCTTTGTTTGGAATGTAAAACTCTGGCTAGTAGGTTGCCTCGGGGAAGGACTGGTGGAGGAACAGTCTGAATGGCGGCCCTGCTTGAGGAGTGGGGATTCAGCAAGGAGCCACCTGTCAATCATTCTGAGGACAGGTGGTCCAGATGTCCTGTGGCCGCTTGTCTCAGAGCCAGAGCTATGCCTGGTGGGGAGAGGAGAAGCAGGGGGCTCTAGCCTCTGAGGACACACACTTGCTGCCACCTGGCAGACACATTGTTCCGCAGACCCCGCACCCAGCTAGAAGTGGAGTTAGAACAGTAAGCGAAGGATTAAGTCATTGTGCCACTAACAGAATAACTGTTCTTTCCGGTGCTGGAAACAGTCTCAGCCAGAGTTATGCTACTCACTGCCTCCTATGTTTGTCTCTGTCCCAGGTACCAGTCTTTATGGCCCTAGATACCCACACCTTTCCTCTCCCTTGCAGCCAGCCAGGTGGGTGCCCCAGAAGCCAGGCAGTGGGTGGACTTCTGTGTCAAATCCCCTGGGTAGCCTCTTGTTCAGTAGCTGCTACACACACTTGGGGACCTATCCTGATGTAGCAGCCATGAGTCCCCAGCTGCTGAGGAATGAGGTAATACCTTGACCTTTTCTGTTGCCAGATCACCAGAAGCTGGAGAGAGAGGCTCGGATCTGCCGCCTGCTGAAGCATTCCAACATTGGTGAGCACCGGTGGCGGTGGAGTGGGTGGTTTTGAGAATGCCTGTGGAGAGTTTAGAACCCAGAACCTGGGGCCGTTGACCTGTCCAAGCCTCCTCACACATGGGCTGAGTGGCCCTGCAGGAGGAAGTGGGTATTTGACAAAAGTCTATCAGCCCCGTTTGCCTGCACCCCACATAGATGGGAACCAAGACAGGACAGTCACAGGATTCTGGGTCCCCTGCCAAGTCTTGGTCTCCAGAAGCACAGCTGCTCTGCCTGTCAGTCCCTTCTAAAGCCCAGACAAATGTTCAGGGAGCTGCAGGGACCACGGTGGTGCCCAAGTCGCTCAGACCCCCCTGGGCCCTTCCGTGGCTATGGTGAGGCCTTGCTATGCATATACCCCCGAGAGTGCCCGTTCTTCCCAACTCGGGGCCTCTGGAGCTGAGGAAGAGTTCAGGAGCTCAGATCTTACCCGTGCTGGGGAGCAGCTGCAGACACCTTGGATGTGACTACCCACATCTGCAGATGCAGATGACTAACCTCAGAAGCACTGGGATTTATCAGCGGATTCCTGGGCTCTACCTTCCAAAGTTCAGCTTTGCCAGGACACAACCCAAGATTCACTTTAAAGGGATCCCCATGGCTGGACTGGGAACGTGGCTTCTACATCTCTTCCCAGCCCAGGGGCTGACAGAGAAAGGGGAGGTTACTCTGCTGTGGGCGTGAGGGGATTCCCGCTGCCGTCCTGCTCCCAGGGGCTGGAAGTCTTGGCTGGCCACTGGACTACACTAAGAGTCGCAAGGAGAGATGCAGCCTTCCTTTCTGAGGCTCCTCTGGGTCTCAGGCACCAGCTGATTGATCCTGGTCTCTTTGTTTCTGAGCCTAACCCTCTTTGTTTTTCGAGACGTGACTCGCTGTGTAACCTTGGCTGGCCCTAAACTTGCTGTGTAGACCAGGCTGTCCTTTAACTCATAGAGGTCTACCTGCCTCTGCCTCTTAGGTGCAGGGATTAAAGGTGTGCACCACCACACCCAGCACAGAGCCTTCTGCTCTTGACTCGCAGGTGCCTGGCTGCCTTTGAGAGCCGACTCTGAGGTCTGGGTAGGCCCAGGAGCCTGGATCTCAGCAGTGACCATGGGTCACTGGGCCACTGGGTGCCTACAGTTTAGTGCCAAGAGCCTGTTACTTGTCACCACTGGGCACTGCATCTCTTCTCGGGGATCATGGAAGATGTCCCAACTCCATCAGTACCTCTAGGTCCTTACTTACCTGCCCCTAACTGTGCAGCAGCCAAGAGCCACACTCACTCTGCCTGTGTTTGCATGGACCCTTATTTGGGTGAGTGGGGGCCCAGGTGTGTTTTTGGTTTTTCGAGACAGGGCTTCTCTGTGGCTTTGGAGGCTGTCCTGGAACTAGCTCTTGTAGACCAGGCTGGCCTCGAACTCACAGAGATCCGCCTGCCTCTGCCTCCCGAGTGCTGGGATTAAAGGCGTGCGCCACCACCGCCCGGCTCCAGGTGTGTTTTAGGTTGCTGTTTTGTTTAGTTCTTCAGTAAGACATCTCCCTGGCCTGGCCGGAAGCCTAGTGTGGTTCTGGATGGGTTCCAAGCAGTGGCTTGGCTCCAGCTTCCTGTGTGGACTGCGGAGAAGAGGCCATTGCAGCAGCTTCACTTCAGGCAGGTTAGGACCCCAAACCAGGGCATTCTGGGACATAGACCTGTAGCTGTGGGGCTCCAGGGGAACTCTCTCTGAAGATCCAGGGGCTCTCTGAGGAGGTGAGGGGAACTCCTAGGGCTACCCACAGCCTTCTCTTAGTCCCCTACCTCAGCCCCACTTCTTTTTGTTTTTGAGACATCATTTCTCACTGTAGCCTTGGCTGTCCTGGCACTCACTCTGTAGACCAGGCTGGCCTCGAACTCACAGAAATCCACCTGCCTCTGCCTCCCGAGTGCTGGAGTTAAGGCGTGTGTCACTACCTCCCAGCATCAGCCCCACTTATAGACAGAAAGCTGTCCACAGGCCACCCTGAGACCATGAGCAAGTGCTGGGGTCAGGTAGGGAGGTGGTTCGGGGTTGGGGGTAAGCTGGGAAGCAGTGTGTGGCCGACTAAGGAGGGGAGAGACCTCTGTCTCCCCTCTGATATGGAAATAGCTCCTACCACTCTCCCAGGGGCCTGATGGCATGAGCTGAGATGCCTCACTTGGGAAACAATATAAAACAAAGTGCCCCCTTAGGGCAAGCAGTATCTGTTATAAAGCCCTCCTCTCCAGAGACCTGAGCTAAGGGCCACCCTCGCGCTCCAAGCAGACTTCTTACTGGTGGAAAGGGGCACAAGTGTCCTGTCTTTCATAGTGTGGTTTCACAAGTGTGGCGCCTGTCTGTGCCCAAAGTCTTGGCGGACCAGGCTGGGTTGCCCCAGCCTCTGCTCTCAAGAGCAGCTGGTCTAGTGACGGGCCTCCACAGAGCTAGGGAACCCATGACAAAAAGTGTCGTTGGTTCAAAAGTTATTAAGAATTCCACATCAGGCCTGGAGAGATGCTCTTAAGAGCACTTGCTGCTCTGCAGAGGAACCGGGTTGGATTCCCAGCACCCACATGGCAGTGCACAACCACCTATAATTCCAGTTCCAGGGAGTCCAACATCCTTTTCTGGCCTCTGTGAATACTAGGTACACACTTGGCATACACAGATACATGCAGGCAAAACACTCATAAAATAAAATAAATCTTTTTTTTTTTTAAAAAGGGTTTCAAAGCAGCAGCAGGAACATTCCGGCTCTTCTCCGACTGCAAGCCCAGTGTGCCGGTAATGCCTAGGGCACTTACGTATGGTGGACACAGCCAGGGCTGTGTCTGCCAAGGGCTTGCCTGGAGCCTCAGGATTCATTTCCAAGATGGCTCCTACTACGATCTCAGTTCCTCTTGTATTTCCCCAGAGCTAGGTATAAGCATCGTTGTGACATGGCAGCAGGCTCCTCCAAAGCCAGGGGTAACAGAGGGAGAGACTGTTAGTCAGTTTCCATTGCTGTGACAAAATGCCTGAGCTAACCAACCTATAAAGAGAAGGTGTTTCAGGTCATTGTTACAGAAATGTCAGTCCAGGGACTGAACAGGTGGCTTAATGGGTAAAGGGCTTCTCTGTCATAGCAGCACCCATGGAAATGCCAAGCAGGCATGGTGGCTCTCCTGCGACCCCAGTGCTCAGTAGGCGGGGACAGGGGATGCCCAGAGCAAGCTGGCTGACTGAACCAATGAGCTCTGGGTTCCAGTGAGAGACCCTGAGTCATATTAAAGCTGAGAGTAATTGAGGAAGATGCCGAGTGTCAATCTCTGGCCTCCACATGTACCTACACACACGCGTGTGCCCCCACATGTGTGAACATGAACACACGCGCACGCGCACGCAGTAACCGTTCATGGTTGCATGGGGCTGTGGCAGAAGCAGATGTTGGAGAAGTCTTGTTGACCTCACACATGGCAGCAGAGGAACACAGGGCGGAGCAGATGGAGACCACCCTCCGGAACAGGTCCCCACTGACCTAACTTCCTTACACTAGGCCCCACCCCTTAAAGGAGCCATCTCTCAGTAGAACACTGTGCTGGAATCCAGACTCCAACATGTGGGCCTTTGGGGGACATTTCCAAAGACAATCTGCAGAGACAAAACAGAGAAACAGGGACCAGTGTGCGACTCCAGAGAGAGAGACACCCAGAGAGAAAACGAGGGGCATATTACCTTTAAAAACTGTGGGGAAGCAATGCATGGCAATGTCCCTGTGTGGATGCACAGCCCTGAAGCATTAGCTACATCTGCAATGCAGTGTCCCCCCTGCCCCCCACCCCTCCCCCGCCCCCTCCTCCCACCTCTTCCCCACCTACAGCCAGACCTATCACCTCGTTCCTTAGTCAGCTTCCCATTCCCCTCCTCCTGTCCCTGAACCTGACACCTGACGTTTTTGCTTCTGTGTCTATGACTGACCACTCTCAGAACCTCATAGAAATGGCCCGCCCTTCCGTGACTGGCTTATTTTACTGAGTTCTCCAGGGTCATCATCCCTTCCCCTCCCCTCCCCCTTCTCTCCTCGCTGCTTCTCCTGCCTGCCTCCATCTCTGAGACAGGGTTTCTCTGTGTAGCCCCTGCTGTCCTGGAACTCACTCTGTAGACCAGGCTGTCTTTGAACTCAGAGATCCGCCTGCCTCTGCCTCCCGAGTGCGGGGTCAGAGGCGTGGTGCCCCCCCCCCCCCCGCTGGCATTTGGCATTTCTCCCCTTTGAAGAATGAACAATACTCATTGCACAGCAGCCCCACGCTTTGTTTGGCCCTTGTTTCTTGACGGTGCTTGGAAGCCCCAGGTGAATAGCTCTGATGGGTGCACAGGTGTGTGAGTCCCTGCCGTCAGTCCCCTGAGTAACACCCGAGAGAGTGCTGCTCACATTCCAAACCCGTGCAGCCCTCCGAGGAAACATCTCTGCATACTGTGTTTGAAGTCCACAGGCAGGGCCAGCAGTTCCCACAGAGGAAACGCACCGAAGAGCTTGGGATGCATTTCCCAGCCACCATGATGAGCACCTGAGGTTATGGACCTGGTTCCTACCTGCCGAGCTGTCTCATTGTTAAATGAGGCTCATGGCCCCGCCCCCTCCAGCCATAACCCGAATGCATTGACCCCCAGCGGCCAGCTCCCTAGCATCTCGAGGGGCTTGGCCAAGTGCTTGCTCTAGAGTGACCCCGTCTCCCTCAGAGTCAAAGGGAGGCCTGGGAAGGCGCAGCACCCTAGGCGTGGCCTGACCTTTGCAGTGCTGTGAAGATGGAGGTAGACGGGGAGGTCTGATTGGGTCACTTACAGCATCAAGCTTTTCCTGGACCCCCTCCTGGGAAGTAGCCCAGCTCATTCAGGTGTCACCCCAGTCCTTGGACACCTCAGCAGAAAGGCTGTCGGAAGCTCGGAAGAGAGCTGCAAAGCAGAACCACCAGAGATACATCCACAGGTCTTAATGGGGGGTTCTGGCATGGGGAAGGGGTTCCTCTGGCTTGTCTGGAAAAAGGTGGCATGAACAGAGGAGCCCATGTGGTTGCCCAAGACAGGTGAGGAGGCTTCCAGACTGGGTTGTGACAGTGACGTTGGTATCTGTGTGACACTAATCCGTGAACACGGATGTCTGTGTCTCACCTGGATGTGTCCCCTGAGCTCAGCGCCATCTCCAGGGAGGTCCCAGAATTCATTATTCAGCATGTTTATAAGTGCCTGCCTCGTGCCAGGAGAGGCGGTCCCAGGTTGCCTCGGGTCTCTTGCAAGAGCTGCAGCAGGTAGCTAGGCCCAGTGTCGACATCACGACATCACGTGCTGACCTGCAGACGGGAGCCAGCACCGTGGCTGTTGTCCGTAGCTCTCGAGTGCGGAAGACAGTTCTGCCTGGGAAGCAACAGGTCCTAAAGCCACTGCCTTGCATAGTGACAGAGACAAGGCGGGGCCTTGGCACACCTGTGACTGGGTATGGTTCCAGCCAGGAGTCCAGAGCCCCGTTTCCTGGATGAGGGCTTACCCTCTGCAAACCAGCTCACTGTCTTCTGGGCCTGGCTTGGCAGGCAGAGGGCCTTCCCATCTAGTTTCAGGACTGAGGAGCCAGGCAAAGGGCAGCCAGAGGATGGAGCCCTCTGAGGACAAGGAGCCCAGGGTTACAGGAGCTGCAGCCAGGACTTCTCATAGCTAGCCCACTATTGACGTCACAAGCCTGGCTTGCAGGTGGAGGCCGGTGCCACTGCAGGTCAGGAGGACCCCCAAGTCCTCTAATGTTTGGGTGCCTGGGGCTTCTTTGCCCTCAGAAGCCACAACTCCAGCTGGACTTGGGGGTCTGGGCCCTTGAGCTCTGCTCAGCAGAAGGGAAAGGAGTCCCCAGACGCCCACAGCAGAACAGACAAAAGGACATGGTCATGTTTCTGCGTTCCTCTCCCCGGGAGATTGAGGCCTGTGTGAGCTCTGTGAGATTTGCCGCTGGCCATCTGACCCAGACTCTCCTGGCTGGCCTGGCAAGAAGCTGTGGTGGACTTCCCCACACCATCTCTGTATACCAGCCAGCGGTGTCGTTTACTTTCTGTTCTTAAATAGATTTTGTCACAATTCACTTCCCCCTTAGCCTTTTCTGTGATCTCACAGATTGGACACTGGTTAGGGTTTCTTCAAAGCCATGAAAATAAGCACCTGTTTAAAGAAATAAAAGGTGTCCACATACCTACTACCTTAATTCCACACACACAGACTGAGGGAGGGACCTATATCCTAGAAAGGACATGGGAGTCGTCTGGCCAAGCCTCTTCTGCCTCTAAGCAGGTGGCTGAGGACAGGCAGTCCCCAACAGGCCTTTCCTGGGGACCCTAGGGTTCTGCTGCTGTGAAGAGACACCATGACCTCTGCAACTCTTATGAAGGAAACATTTAATTTAACTGGGGCTGGTCCACTATCATCGTGGCGGCAGCATGGCGGCATGCAGGCCGGCCTGGTGCAGGGGAAGGAGCAGAGAGTTCTCCATCTGGATCCACATGAAGCAGGCCTCTAAGCCCACCCCTTAGTGACACACTTCCTCCAACAAAGCCACACCTACTCCAATGAGGCCACACCCCCTAATCGTGCCACTCCCTGTGGACCCCCGAGACCATTCCTATTCAAACCTCCCCTCCCAGGACCCTAGCTGGACCTTCTGTAGACCGGCATTCTCAGGGAATAAATGGAAGAAAGCGCTCTTGTGACTGCCGGGAGCCTTCTCTGCTCAGAGTGGAGGCAGCTGGGGCATCTCAGACAGGCCGCCCTCATGGACCCCCACTAGGAAGGAGCCAGGCGAATGTGCTTTGGCTCAACCTCATGGATTCTGCTGGCAGGTTCTGGAAGGAGGCTACCAGCAGGCACCAGGGACTGACTCATCCTGACTTAGGGAGACACAGGTCAACCTGGACAGAGTGGGGATCCAGTTGGAAATAGAGGGTCTAGGGGCCAAGTAGAATATATCCGTCCTCACTGGGGGGCTCCGATGGCCCAGGGAGCTGAGAAGGGTATGTGTCCAGGGGGCTGGGGGAGAAGTTTTACTGCTGAACTTAGAGCCAGGAAATGAAGGAAGAAATGTAAGGGCCTGTGTCTATTGTGGCAGCGGCCACTACCATGGGCTTCAGGTCCCGGAGCGGCCCCAGACTCAGAGTCTCAGTGGTCCGGTGTGACAGACACAGGGCTGTGGCTCAGGGGGCACCCCTGCCTCGTGTAAGTTCACCCACCGCTTCCTCCCACTCTGCAGAGCTGCAGACTGAGGCTCGGTTGACTGGGGTCCCTCCCAAGCCCCTCTGTTTTCTGGTTCTGTGGAGGGCCTGGGGCCTGGTGTCTCTCAAGGGTAGACACGAGGTGAAGTGCCCCACGGGGCTAAGGCTCTGGAACCACGCTGGGGAGTAGGGCAATATCAGAGCTCCTAGGCATGCGGGTACTATCAGGATGGGGAACCAGGGCCAAGAAGGAAAACGCTGGCAGCCAGCTAGAAACTAGGGCAGTGCGGGAGGGTGCCAGGAGCAGGAATCGTGTGGGCCGTTTTTGCCTGAGGTCCTGGAGCCCTAAGGGACCTGGAGAAGGTGGCCGCTCTTCACCCTCCAGCCTCGTGGCCCAGTCTTGGGCGCCAGAAGACAGCAAGGGCTTGGCGATCCCAGGAGTACAAGGGCCAGGGCTGGAGCCAAGCCCTCGGCCCCACGGCCCCTCATCGCCTTTGGCGGGCTGGGCGCCCTCAGCTGGTTGGTTAGTCAGCCTCTGCCGCAGCTCCCTTTTCTGAGGGGTGGCGGTAAACTAATTGAAACGATGCATGCGAGGCTCAGCCCTGGCGTACAATGCTGTTCCGGGGGGGGGGGGAGGGGGAGGCCTGCACGTGGAGAGCAAGGCCCCAAGTGAGTCATTCCTAGGAAATCCTTACTGCCTGGTGCTCCAAGCTGAGGCCTCACCACAGCTCCCTCCTTCTTCAGTGCTCAGCAGCTCCTCTTCCCTTACAGCTCAGGCAGAGACTAGGAGAGAGCCCGAGTACAGGGTCACGGGTGGTGTGGAAACGGCCAGAATGAAGGCCCCCTGAGCCTTTGAATGCTGCCACCCTCCGAGCCCAGCCCCTGCCTGCTGAGGGGCAGTCGTGGGGTCCAGAATGAATAACGGGTTTGTTTCCTGCAGAATGCTCTCCTGTAATGGTGTGGCTCCTGTCAGGGACTCTGCAGCAAGGCTTTCCCATGCTCCCCTCTGGTAGGGTTGGAAGTAGGAGAGGAGAGCGGGGCCAGTGGAAGGGCGAGGCGCTGCCTAGAGCTCTGTGGTGCTCTCTCTGAGGCTCGGCCTGCAGCACCTGGAGCCAGCTGGTAGCTCCCCAAGTCCCAGCCAGCCTCCTTGGGGAGAGCCCGTGGGTCACAGAGAGGAGCCGCCTCACCCGGGCCTGCACCACTGCTGCTGGGGGGCACCCAGTCAGGGTGGAGGTGGGCGTGAGGGACTGTTCTGGGCCGATTCCAGCTCCTCATGGCTTCTCTGTCCCTGCAGTGCGTCTCCACGACAGCATCTCAGAAGAAGGCTTCCATTACCTGGTCTTCGATCTGTAAGTGCCAGAGCCAAGGACCCTCACCTCTGTCACTCCCAGCGTGGGGCCCTCCACACATTCAGAAACAGTTCGTCCCCTCATCAGGACTCTCCCTGAGCACACCTCTGCAGTGAGCTGTCTCGTCCCCAGACATCCAGCTTACCCACCCCTGACTTGGCTGTGCACGGGTTTTACCCTCACGTCTGACATGCTGAGGTCACCCTCCAGGCAGAAAGCTGGAAGGTGGGGGCAGTGGAGGGGAGGCCAGTCAGTGCCCACTCACCTCCCTCCTCTCTGAGGCCTCGGGGCTTGTCACGCCAGGCTGGGGCCTAGCCAACTGACGCGAGCACGTGTTTTACACTTATGAGTGAAAGGATGTATGTACGCACACACGTGAGATGGTTCCTGAGCTTGTGAGACAGGAAGTACAGAGATGGCTGTGTAAGGTCCATGGGTGTATATGCATGATGTCTGCTTTATGAGTGTGAGCCTGCGTGTGGTTTGGGGATACAGGGGCTGGGTGTGTGTGTGTGTGCGCGCGTGCGCGTGTGCGTGTGAGTGTGTTTGCATGTCAGCGTGTGCAGTAACCAAGTGAGAAGGCGTTTGGGGCCAACTCCGCCTCTCACTTCCTGCCGGATTTAGAAGCGATGATCTCATCTCCCTTACTCTTGACAGCTCCTGCTAAGCAGCACTATATTTAGCTGTCCGTGAATCAGGGCTGCTTCGGGACCCTGGGCTGGGTGGGGGCCCAGGGGCTTTGGCCTGCCCTGGTGGCCTCCGGACTGCACAGCCAGGGCAGCCTGGAGCTGGTGCTGTTACCATGGTTACCGCATGCCCTCTGGCTGTCCTTGAGCAATAGGCTGAATGGGAACAGGAGGTGTCCACCTCTCCCCTCTTCCTCCCTCAGGCGACAGGTGTCCAGGCTGTGGGGCATGCAGGCCTTAGTGTCCTCTGCCCCTGTAGGGTCCTCTGGTGAAGAAGTCGGGCTGCCCCTTCATGGAGTTTGGTTATTTCTTTATGCCCCACAAGACCCTGCCTAGAATTGTCAGCTAGCTAACCCCGCTGCAGTCTGGCGGGATCTGTGCCCAGAGACATCAGTCCCGTGGCCTGAGGTGGACAGGCTCACTGTTTCCACTGTGTGCTCAAAGCCCTCTTTCACGGCCCTCTCTTCTCCTCGGGCCTGCGGGCTGAGTGTGGTCCCATTCAGGCCCCTGACAGCCAACAGATGGCTGCAGACGTTTCAGGAGCTGTGAAGGAAAGAGAAGGGGGAGCGGGTACCTGTGTACCTGTGAATGTAACATGTGTATCCCTCAGACCTCCCAAGACATGCCAGGCAGGCAACTGCAGGGAGAGACTGAGGGTGGTGGGTCTGGGCAGAAAACCTAAATATCCTTCTCCCATACCTCCAGAGCCCCAGGGTTGTGGGTTCTGAGGAGGTCTGGTAGCTCTGCAGCAGGCCCTGAGGCTTCGTCAGCTTGAGCTCTGGGAGGCTCTGGGAGGCTCTGGGAGGTTCTGGGAGGTGACTGGCACACTCCAGGCCTTGGCATGGAAGCTACAGGACAAGACTCCTAGCAGTGGTGTCAACTCCCTGCCCTGAGATTCCGAACCAAGAGATGGCCCTGATGCACACACGCCAAAATGCAACTTCCGGAATACTTGAGGTACCTCAGGGGCCTGGCCCTGGCACAGATCTGGCACCTCCAAGGGCATCATTCAAGCTATAGCTCCACACCAAGACCCACTGGCCTTACGTGTCTTCTCTGTCCAGATTTGAATTTGCAAAGCCGGGTTCAGGAACATTTTGTGCTGAGACTCAAACAATCGCTCACCCAGCGCTGAAGATAGCAGCCTTATTGCCTAGGTTGCTCCTGCACTCTCCTATTGCACATGTGTGCAAACTACACTCACAGTGCTGCTTTTTCCATTTTGAGGTGGGCATTTGCTGCAGACAGAGACAAAGGACAGGAGGGTGTGTGGTCTCGTGGAGACAGGAACTCAAGTACGGCAGGCCCTCAGCCCACCAGGAGGCTAGATCCAGGCACTATATCCTCTGGAGCCTTTCACCACTGTGTGAGGCCTCAAATGTGGCCCGGGACAGGGGAGCATTGACGTGGAGAAAACCGGATCTAGAATTAGAATCACAAAGCTGGGTCTAACACTAGAAACCCCTGGCTCAAACCCCTGTGCTGCCAACTGTGGGGAGACCACTTAGATCTGAGGAACTCAGTTTTCTCAGGGGGTGGTTGTGAGGGCAAGTACTGACTGTCACCAGATGTGAGCAGGTGTGCCCTTGATAAGGTGTCGGTGTGCCAGGACAGAGGTGATGGTGATCAGGAGTGATGGTGACAAGGTACGGTGACGATGATGGCAATGATGGTGACAAGAGATGGAGCAGCGATGACAAATGGTGGCGGTGACAGTGGTGGTGGTGATGGTGAGGTGGAGGTGATGATGGCGATGATGGTGGCGGTCATGGTGGCTGTGGTGATAAAATGAGAGATGATATGAGAAGAATGATGGCAATGTTGGTAGTGGTATGAGGGCGGTGGCAGTGATGGCAGTAATGATTGAGAGTGATGGCTGTGATGATTGACAGTGAGGGCTGTGATGATTGACAGTGAGAGCTGTGATGATTGACAGTGAGGGCTGTGATGATTGACAGTGAGGGCTGTGATGATTGACAGTGAGGGCTGTGATGATTGACAGTGAGAGCTGTGATGATTGACAGTGAGGGCTGTGATGATTGACAGTGGAGGGCTGTGATGATTGACAGTGATGATTGACAGTGAGGGCCTTGATGATTGACAGTGAGGGCTGTGATGATTGACAGTGGTGTAATAGTGGTCGTCATGATGGCGGCCCCTAGCGGCAGTGGCGGTGGTGGCAGTGGCCTTATGGTGCTGATGGTGGCGACCGTGATGGAGGCACCAGGATGAAGAGGGTCTCCAGGGCCCATGACCGTGTGCTTCCCTCGTAGGGTCACTGGCGGGGAGCTCTTTGAAGACATCGTGGCAAGAGAGTACTACAGCGAGGCTGACGCCAGGTGGGTTCCGATCTCCACACCGCGCTCCCCTTCCCTGGCTTCCGGCTCTTTCCGCGCTCAGCCCCACTCCCGCCCTTTCTGTGCCATGGCCCGCAGAGGTCAGCCGAGTGGCAGTGTCCGCAGGTCTGTGGCCAGCTGGGAACTCGGAGCAAGTCAGGGGCGAGGGCGGCTGCGCGCGCCCGTAGCTGGCACAGAGGTGTGGCTCAGGCGGGCGGACGTTAGGGAGGCGCGCTTCTTGCGGTGGCTCACAGGGGAGCCGCCCTTGACACCCCCTCCGCGGTCCACTGGCCTCCCACAGACAAGCGTGTCCACGTGATTTCTAAGAAAGACAGGCCGGGGATCCATGCCCACCCGTGGCGTGCTCTCAGTCACTCACCATAGCGAGAGTGTGCGGGTGCCGCCGCCGCCCTCCTCTCCGAGCTCCTAGACTCCTGCTCGCCTCCTAGAGGGCGGCAGGGAGCCCGGGGCAGACTGAAAGCTTAGCACTGGCCAAGGGGCCCTGTCCAGGGTGCCAGGCAGAGGGCTGAGCCCTGTGGGTGAGTCCAGGCCGGGATTCCTCGTGGGTATCTGAGGAAACAGTCTTTACCCCCAGGCCGATCTTTGCCAGGGCAGTGAGGAAGGACAGTGACCCAGGGGCGGCTGTTTGTGGCGTGGCTGCTGGGGACCGGATGAAGGGTGTCAGTTGTGGCTCCTGGGGGTTCCCGGAGCCCACATCAGATGCTACCCAGACTGTGTCTTGTCTCAGGGTTATGTGCAGATGGCCACCCCTGCCCGCGGGCCCTGCCCACCTCTGCCTGGCCGCAGAGATAGATGTACACTTAAAGAAGGGGCCGCAGTGGTCCTTCCCAAGCCGTTGAGTTATGGGTGATTTTAAATGTTTCATCTTGTCCATTTTAAAGCTTGTCTTTAGTGAATATGCATTACATCTCTAGTTGGGAAAATGAATGCTGTCTTTACAGGATCTTTCTGTGACTTGGCTCTGCACTAGCAGGGACCCTTGCCTTTCACCACAGGCCTGAGTCCCTGTGGGAAGCCGCGAGGGCACTGGCTCCTCGTGGCCTCTTAGGTCTTCCCCCATGGAGCCGGGCAGCAGAGGCCAAGTCACGCAGAAGGGCAGGGTGGGACAGGCCTGTGGCCCCAGGTCTCAGTCTCAGGAAGCTAAGGGTGCTGGGTCCTTCTGAAGGCTCCCCCGGGAAAAACACTAGAAGAGGCCTGTCCCGTAGACTGGCGGGAAGGAAACCTTTCCTGTGTATTCTCCTTAAAGAGGAGCAGGTGGTACAAGGGAGCCTCTTTCCCTGACCTAAAGTGCAGGGTGAGAAATGTCGGTAAGCTGGGACGTCACAGCCCTTCCAGGTCCCCGCAGGGGTGTCTATCACTCCTCCTCTCCTTAGCCATGTCTTCCAGGCCTGTGGCCACTCCATCCCTAGGACCCCGTGTGGCGGGGGTCCCTGCACGCTTTGTCCTCTGACTCGGGGGCTGCTTCTACCATTGGGGTCAGAGCTCACCCCCAGCACACAGGCCTGCTGTGCTTCCAAGGCCACACCACCGGGCCACCTCGTCAGTCTCCGACGGGCCCACAGCGCCCTCTGGTGGCTCTAAGCACAGAGCCGAACCCCCTCACCCCCAACTCTCTTGCTACAGGGTAGACAACCGCTGCCCCCAGAGGGCTTGGGTCCCGGAGGGCTCAAGGCCGGAGTGGCTGAGAGTTTCCAAGTTCTTAGGCTGCTCAGGTCATAGGAACTTGTAGGCTGGGAGAGGGAAGTGCCCCATGCCCTCGCCCCCATGTCTCCGCAGAGGACAGCAATTCCTCCTGCCTCCCGGGGAAACCCATGTGGAGAGTGTTGCAGGTATTTAAGTGTTCCTGGACCTAGCCCTGGCCCGGACGACATGGGACTGTCTCACCACATAGCACTTCACGGAGTACTGTCTCTCTGGAACGTGAGAATCTAAGGAAAGGAGCATGCTCAGTAGACAGGCTATGAGGAGTGGGCAGCCTGGGTCCTGAAAGGAGGGGAGAGCGCATGAGGAATAATCGCGAAGAGGCCACCTCCCACTTGCTCGACAGCCCCAACGCTGAGAAGAGTAGAACTTGTGCCAGGTTGAGAGAAAGGGCCCAGGGGAGATGGACGCCGCCACCTGGCAGACTCCTAACGTCCCCCAGGAAAATACACAAGAGTGGCTCTTCTGAAACTGCTCTGTCCAAGGAAGCCGGTGGCTCCTTTTCAGAGTGCTGTGGGGCTTTCATTCTGGAGCGTGTAGTGGAAACTTAGAGGTGGCTGTGTCTTTTTGCAAAACAAGGAAAACAAAGTTGCAAACACAGAGATGATTCTTGCAAGACTTAGAAAGCAGACACAGTAGCCTGTGCCGTGTAGGACAGTGTGCCCAGCTACTGTGGTGCTGACTAGGTCCCAGACTGAGAACTGTCTCCAGAGCTTGGCCAGTGGCCAGAATGCTGGCCAGGATGCTTCCGCCACAGAGTGACTTCTGAATTGATCAAAACATTAGAAGAGTGTTGGCTTTGCCTGGCAGTGGAGGTAACAATCGGGCCAAAGCAGCCTGAGGAAGGGTCCCTAACGAGAGGTCCCTGAATGTGCATTCACAGGTTCCCTGCCTTCAGGATAGTGTTGTCACTTTCCCTCACACAGCCTGGTACCATGCTCTCCTGGAGAAACTTGGCTTGCTGACCAGCTTGTTCCTGGGTACTAGGGACCCTCGCAGGGTGGCTCTGAAGTCTGGAGGAGCCTCCACCTGTGTGAGAAGTAGGCTACCAGAAAGGGAAGATCGTGAGCCCAGCAGCATGGGCTAGTGCCTCTGGGCACCCAAAGAGATCTCTGGTGCTTTTCTCAGAACCAGCAGGAAGGTTGCCTCAGGGGACAGAAGGGTAGGACAGTGTGCATTGCAACATGCATGCTGGCCATGCCTTCATGGAGGGTAAGACCACAGGGCCTGGCTTAGAGACTTGACTGGACTTAAATGGTCTCTCAAGAGACTGATCTGGAGGAAGCTCACTGAGGAAGGTGCTAGCTCTGGCCCTCAGCATTCTCTGCAGGATGTGGGGCAGGCTGGGTCCATGCTGGTGGCATCTAGGAAGATGACACTTCTAGTGAATATAAATTGATCCTTTGGAAGAACATCCCAAGCAGAGGAGAGGTCAGCCAAGCAGGGCTGTGCAAACCTCAGGTTTCTCTAAATAGGATCACAGGGCCTGGCTATCCATTGTGTATATTCTGAGAGGCCGTTGGCCATTGGGAGAGTCAGAGAAGCCCTCTGCGCTCACCAAGGCTGGGGGAAGCATTTTGAACTCACAGCTGTGCCACTGTTGCTTCTGGTGTGTGTCACGTTTGTCCCATGGGAAGACTGAGCTCTGACCACTTTCTGTGCCCAGTCCTACAGGCCTTACCGAGAACACAACTGACCCCTAACCTGCATGGGACTGAAAGACACCCTGGGTGACAAGTGCTAGCCTCTTCTTGAGGACCAGAAAGAGGGCAAGGATAAGTAATGGTTGGCACCAGGAAGAGTGGAATGTCAGTGAGAAATGGCAGTTCCTTACTGGTGACATAAAGCCCTTCAAAAACAGCAGGAACAGGACATGGGCCAAGGTGAACCCTGGGAGGGGGCTGGGAAGGAGGGTCTCAGGACCCCAGAACAGGTGGGGGGTAGTAAAATTACAGAGGGCTGCCTCCTAATATTGGACATGTGTAACATGAGAAATAAAAACTCAGAGACTAGCTGGGCGTTGGTGGCGCATGCCTTTAATCCCAGCACTCGGGAGGCAGAGGCAGGCGCATCTCTGTGAGTTCGAGGCCGGCTGGACAGACAGCCTCCAAAACAATACAGAGAAACCCTGTCTCATAAAACCAAAAAAAAAAAAAAAAAACACAACAGAAAACCCAGAGACTGATACTGGGGTTCAAGCTTCAAGCAGAAGATCAGAGAAGCAAAGCAGCCAAGACAGTAGATCTTACCTCTCCCCAGCTGAAATGGCAATCCTGTCTCCATGAATCCTCAGAGGCAAAAGCTCTCAGTTCCTGTCTCCTGTCTTTTATTCCTTTCTCCACCCAGCCATATCACGCCTATCTCCACCTCCCTAGTGCCGGGATTAAAGGCACCTTTGTTTGAGCTGTTTCTTTTAGGACTGGATCAATTTCGTGTAGTCAGTGTGGCCTTGAACTAAGAGATCCGTCTACCTCTTAGTCCTGAGTCCTGGGATTGAAGGTGTGTACCACCACCTCCTGGCTCTATGGTTGCTGGGATTAAAGGTGTGTATCACCACTGCCTGACCTCCATAGTTCATGGCTGACTTTGCATTCTGAATCCTCAGGCAAGCTTTAATAATGCATCACCACAGAAATGGTTTGTATCCACTAGGATGTCAAGGGAGAACTTTGTGGGGAGAAAAATTTAAGTGTCATTTTAAGTGCAGTGCTAGACATATCCACATATCCACTTGGGGGTAGGGGTGCTGATTGAGAAGGGCGGGCTCCATATGCCAAGAAAGCTAACCTTTGGTCACCCCGATGTCCCTAGGACAGGGTCACATGGGACTTATGCCTGGTTTTGGGGGCTACTGGGTTGGGGAGGAGGTTGAGCACAGACTGCAGGGCTTCCGTGTACATAGGGCTGGTGGCCCTGAGTCTGGTGTGTGGGTGGACAGATAGGGCTGGTGGCCCTGAGTCTGGTGTGTGGGTGGACAGGAACAGAGATAGACACTGAGAGACACCACTAGCCAGAAGAGCGCTTGGACAGGAGCTCCCGTGCTCGCTGCCCCCTGGCTAGAGAGGCACCCTGTACAACGGCTTCCGGAAGCATGGGTAGAGCTGGGCCGTCCGATGGACATCCAGGCGCCACGTCTGTTAGATGGGGAAGCACGCGGCGTTGCATCCTCACTGCTCCTGAGCCGTCAGGCTCATCTACACACGGTGGCACCGTGCCCCTGCTGGCTCACACGGTGGCACCCGTGCCCCTGCCGGCTCCACCCTTCCTGTCCCGAGGGGCTGCACTCTCTTGCCCACGGTGCTCACTTGCTGCTGGCGTCTCTGCCCAGCCTTAGGCCAGGTTTAGCCTATCTCAGCCTGAGAGGGGTAAGCTGGAAACCAGAGCCTTTCCCTTCAGAGGTAAAGCAAGAACTAGAGGCTGCCCTTGGGGCTGAGGAAGGCTCCCTTATGTCCAGCATCTCCTCTCCCCATGACTCCCTACGCCTTCCTTGCTCCCCAGACTGGGGATTGAACCCCAGTGCTCCGCAGTGCTCCCCAGTGCTCCTGCTTCCCATCCCTGCGGTTGCTACTCCTCCCCTGACCGGCCTGCCGTTTGTTACAGTCACTGCATTCAGCAGATCCTGGAGGCTGTTCTCCACTGTCACCAGATGGGGGTCGTCCACAGAGACCTCAAGGTGAGTTCCTACTGCCCTGCGAGAGCTTCTGTCACCCACACCGACAAGCTGTGTAAGAGGCGGTGTGGAGAAAGAGGGAGGTGGGGCGTGGAAAGTGTGTGTGCAAACTGCATGCATGCACGAAGGGTTGTGAGCGCATGCGTGCCTGCCTCTGTACAGGACCACGTGCAAATGCTTGAACACAGAGGCTTGGTGCACATGTACCTGGGTGTGTGCATGCATGCGTGTGCATATATATATGAGATGTAGCTGCACCCTTCCAGCCCAGTGCCTCTGTCGCTGGAGTTGTCAGTCTTCTAGAACTATCCTGTTAACAGATGTATTCTCAGACTCCCACTTTCTAGTCTTCCACCAAGATGCTTCTCTTGAGGGTGGGGACGCAGGTGACTGGGGACAGGTAATGAGAATAAGCTCGGTCAACTCCTCTCGGGTCTCTTTCCAATTCTCTGCTGCCCACAGATAGACTATGGGCTCCAGACTCTGTTAAAAGAAAAATTGTAGCTGGGTATCGTGGCTCATCCTTTAATTCCAGGGCCCTGGAGATTGAGGCGAGGGGCTCAGGAGTTCAAGGCTAGCCTAGGCTACATAGAAACTTTGAGGTCAGCCAAGTCTACGTGAGACCCTGCCTCATGAGAAGAAAATAATTGCCTACAAACTTCCAGAAGCCTCCGCCTTTCCCCTCACCCTTCTTCCCTGTAACGGCTCCTTTCCCGAGGCCTGGTTCAGCCTGTTTCTGAGTCCACCTGTTGGGGGCAGTGTAGATGCCAGTCCTGGCCTGCATGTCTTTAAGGCCAATCTTCCCCTGAGCATTAGTGCTGACTGGGGTGGTCGCTCCTTCCTTAGGCCAGGGGCCAGGGGCCAGTCTTTACAGCTGTTCTGGGAGGGAATCACACAGAACAGACCTGAGATGTTCCCCTGCATCTCTTCATGTGGCCTTGCTTCCTTAAGGGCTCTGCTCTGTCTTAACTGGCACAAGACCCCTGAAATGCACTCTGTTCCTGGAGAATTAACATTGAAGCTGAAGCATAGAAGAGGACGTATGTGTTCCCTCAGGTCTCCAACCATGGACAAACATGGTGGAGAGCATACAGTGTCCCTCCTCTCCCAGAGGGAAGTGCCACCGTCTTGATGAGGCAGGCCCACAGATGGCACAGCAATGGGCTGATGCCGCATAGCCGCCCGAGGCAGGGGAGAGCATGGTTAGCTGCTGTCTCCAGTGGTGGCTGTGAGGGAGCAACCCAGCCTTCATGGGCCGACTTCTGCCTCCCTCCACGGTCCCGGACTCTCTTCTCTAGCACTTTCTAGGGCCCTGTTTGCTTGACTTCTCCCCACTTCTTGTAGGAAAGGGTTGGGGATCCCAGAGGGAGGCTTGGGGCCCCTGCCATGCTCACAATGGCAAAATCAAAGTGGGCGAGGCTGAGCATGACCCCTGCCTATCACCAGCTGGGAGAGAGCTCTAGGGCGGCTATAGCTTCGGGCTTGCTACTTTGCACTCACAGCTAGAGCCCCGGTCTGCCTGCAGGCCCAGAGCACCCAACTCAGGAAGCCCACATCTTTCCGTGTAGGGCGGGCACACTTTGATTCCAAGAGCTGCCATTATGCCTCATAAAGTCTGAGACAGATAAAAAAAAAAAGTAGTGTTCCAGCTGCAGTATGATCTCAGGAGTGGAGTGCCACTGTGGAATGGTGAGGGTGCCTGTGAGTTTGCCAAGGGGATCTGAGGGCTGAAGAGCCCCCTCGTGATCAGGAGCCGGGAGCATCATGCTGAGCTCTGGGTGCTGCCCAGAGACCTGCTCCTTGGGAGCTAATGCAGAACTCTGCTGTGATGGGAGGTTGGACAGGAAGGCCAGGGAGGCTCTCGGGCCCTCGACAACCCAAAGACAACAACCTCTCTGGCCGCTTCTTCAGGACGAGACAAATGTGCCTCCAGCTGAAGCAAGACTGTTTCCCCTAGGGAGGCTTTTCCCCCCTGTGGATGCAGACAGCCTATCTGTCCAGTGTGGTGGTCCTGACTGCAGCTGGGTAGGGCTTGGTAGGCGGGCTGTGCCTGGCAGGAAGATGCCCTGGGCATTGTAGCTCTGGGTGCTCCTCCGCACTCTGTGAAGGCTACTGCCCCAACCCTGAACTCTCCGCCATGTCTGAAGCGAGAGGGGCGGGACCGACCCTCTATCAGTAGGGCAGTCCTGTAGCCCAGCGGTGGGAACTGCTGTGGTTGTTTGTGAGGGTGCCCTGCAGGTTTCGTTCCCACTTTAGGAAGCGGGATACCCAAGTTCAAGCTGAGAGCCAGCTTCCTATGAATGGCTAGGATGGCCGTCCTTGTCCCCAAAAAGGAATCAGGCTACAGGGTATAGGTCCCAAGGACACCCATGTGGGGAGGCAGGGCTGTGCCTCTCTGTCCCACAAACTGCTGCCACCTCTGTTGTGTCCCCTGACCCCCACAACTGCTCGCGGTGTGAGCACTGTGTCCTGACGGCTGTCTCCCTGTAGCCCGAGAACCTGCTTCTGGCCAGCAAGTGCAAGGGGGCTGCAGTGAAGCTGGCGGACTTCGGCCTGGCCATCGAGGTGCAGGGAGACCAGCAGGCGTGGTTCGGTGAGTGTCGGGGGGGCCGGGGGTGCTGGCAATTCCTCAAGGCCCTTCACGGTCCCTCCCCCTTTGACAGGATTCGCGGGAACGCCGGGCTACCTGTCTCCTGAGGTCCTTCGGAAGGAGGCGTATGGCAAACCTGTGGACATCTGGGCATGTGGTAAGACCTGTGTGTGAGAGCTGGTGGGGTTGCATGATGAATGTGTGGTTGTGTATCTCAGAGCTTACTCCCTCTGTCCCGGAGTGTGCAGGCGGCTGGCTTACCCTGCCCTGAGCCAAGTGTGTGTGTCAGACCCACGTTTGGGCTGCCTTGGCAGGGATCTCACACCCTGACTAGAATTACCAATGCGCCCCAGGCCACTATGTTTGTCTGCCTATGCTCATTATAGGTCTGTGTCCAGAGCAAGTGGACACCAGGATACAGGGACCAGGGGCTGTCAGACCACGGGCTCCTTAGGTGGGATCTTCTCTTTCTGGTGGGCATATAGCAGAGGAGGCTAGCCAGGCTCCCTAGTGAAGCAGGGTGGGGATGGAGTAGGGATTAGAGGCTGCTAGTGCCATGCTCCCCATGGCAGGGGAGGGGCAAGGGGACACTGAGGACTGACCCTGGTGCCCTCCAGGGCTATGCTGCTCACCTCCCCATCCACAGGGGTGATCCTGTACATCCTGCTGGTGGGCTACCCACCTTTCTGGGATGAGGACCAGCACAAGCTGTACCAGCAGATCAAGGCTGGGGCCTACGATGTGAGTGGGTGCCGATGCGGAGGGTGGGGACTGCCACACCCCGAGTCTGCCTTCCTCTTCATGGCCTCTGCCAGGGGAGGGGCTTCAGCCCTGCCCTCTGCACCACTTCCTCCCGTAGTTCCCATCCCCCGAATGGGACACCGTTACTCCTGAAGCCAAAAACCTCATCAACCAGATGTTGACCATCAACCCTGCTAAGCGCATCACGGCCCATGAGGCCCTGAAGCATCCATGGGTCTGCGTAAGTCATCCTCGGCAACCTCTAGGGGCCAGTTCCTGGTGGGCGTATCCAGGGCTCCCAAGCTAGCTCTGGGGTTCTGTTCCTCATGTCTGTGAAGGACAAGACTTGAGCTTGGAAATAAGCGGGGGACTGCAGGTGGGGACAAGTGATCTCTCGTTGTCACGGTGGCTGGCAGCACTCAGTATGTGAGCCCTGGAGAGCCACTGCCGCCAGCCAGTCTCCTAAGCCTGCTCCTCACCGCCCTGTGACTTCCCTTCTCCTGACAGCAACGCTCCACAGTGGCCTCTATGATGCACAGACAGGAGACCGTGGAGTGCCTGAAGAAGTTCAACGCCAGGAGGAAGCTCAAGGTAACGTGGCTCAGCCGCCATCTGCCTGTCTTCATGTCCCAGTGGGCCCCGCTGGCTGTGGGACCTGGAGAAGAGTAGTGGGGAGGAGCCCCCAAATCTGGGCCCACTTACAAGCCCAGAGGGCGCCAGATGCTGTGACAGCTCAGAAGGCCAGAGATTGGCCCTGCGCGCAGAGCTGGCCACTTCAGCGTCCTGGGGACAGGAGTACGGGCCCAGAGCAGTCCTGGTGGGCCCAGCAGGTTGGGGAGGCAGGTAGACAGGGCGGACCCTGATCATTGCTGTCCAGTCAAGGCCAGGGCTAGGCCTACAAGCCTTCGCATGATTGAGCTTCCCCAAAGCCCCAAGGACAGCCCTGACTGGTCTGGGCCAGAGGAGCTGTCATGGTGGCAGCCTTCCTGGTCATGCCCACCTCTCAGGCGTCTTGATGCTGTGATTTGTGGGTAGTGTCAACTTTAACTATGGACATGGTGACTTGCCTCCATGCAGCTGCTAGGTCCTGGAACTCTTACTTTTCCGGAAGGCTGGGGCGTGTGTGTGCATGTGTGTGTGTGTGAGAACACGCGTGCGTGTGTGCACGTGTATGCCTGCGTGTGTGCGCACGTGCGTGTGTGCGTGCGTGTTTGTGTGCACGTGCGTGTGTGTGCATGTGTGCGTGCGTGTGTGTTTGTGTGCGCGTGCACGCATGTGTGCATGTGTGCATGTGTGTGTGTGCGTGCATGCCCATGTGTGCGTGTGTGCGCGCCTGTGGTCTTGTAGCTAAAAGACAGCAGGGTACAGAAACTGACAGGGTGACCCTGGCTCTGTCTCTCCTTAGGGAGCCATCCTCACCACTATGTTGGCCACACGGAACTTCTCAGGTGAGACACTCTTCTCCAGGGAGGACCGTGTTTCAGAACCACCCTCATTCTACAGAAAACCCTCTCCTTCCTCACCAGCCCTCAGTCCCTTCCCTCCAGGCTGGCGTGGGCCCAGGTTCTGCCCTACCTCTAAGATCCACCTCCCAGAAGGCCTTTTGGCTTCCCTCACTGGGTAGCTACTGAGGTCTGCTATGCCCCAGCCCCGCCTCCTCCGTGTTGTTGGGTCTGCGTCCCTCCCCTGATGCCCCAGTGTCTGTGCTGCCAACCCCTGGCCTGCCACCTGTACCCATCCAAGCATCTGTTGGGCAACCCTGTGGCCTCCTTGTCCTCGGCACTTGAGGCATCGTGTTGTGTGTGGGAGACAGCTGAAGGCGGGCGGGTGAGATTGAGGTCCGCGCACAGGGAAGCCGCATCAGTTCTGGACGGCCGCCTACCCTGGTTGTTCAGGGTGGGCGATGGGAAAAGGAAGTCTCAAGGGTCTGTTAGAGACCCACGGAGCCCATCTGGGGAGACAGTGTTGGCCCTGGTGCCCAGACAGCTATGTCTGTGGCTTCTTCGTCGTCTGACACTAAGTGTGCGAGCGTTCATGGTCGTCTCTCCTTGTCCGTCTGCATCCGGTACCCTGCCTCCTGTTACTTTGCTGTGATGCTGTACTGCCGGGAATGGGCACACGGTCACACCAACACTAATGGGACTGTCCTGTCTGCTGTGTGCCCCGCATGCCCCGCCGGGCACAAGAAGCCCCGCTGGGGGTGTTCTAAGGAGAAAGGAGGCAAATGCTCTTCCGTGTCTTATCGGCCCAATCTTGTTTCACTCTCCTGAGAAAGGGGTTCTGGCGCCATCCCCCACCTAAACTTTAACTCTAATCTTCTTCTGCTTCCTTTGTCTCTTCTCTTCCCTTACCTCGCCCCACCCCGTCTGTGTCTGCCCTTCCCCCCCTCGTCTCTAACCTGGTGCTAACAGTGGGCAGACAGACCACCGCTCCGGCCACAATGTCCACCGCGGCCTCCGGCACCACCATGGGGCTGGTGGAACAAGGTAGATGTGTCTTAGTGTCCACCTGCTCCTGCCCACCCTCCTGTTGGCATGCAGCCCCCCAGAGCCTCCCCAGAGGCTGGCAGCCCCTGCCACAGTCACATCCCAGCAGAGGCCCCGCCCTGGGCAATAAGGCTGCCCCTCACTCCTGTCTCAGAGTCTGTAGGAGGAGAGGCCACATCAAACCCCAGATGCATTTGCCTGAGGCCCTCAGGACCCTGACCTCTGGGAGTCTGGAGACCCAATTCAGAGTGGCCCTGACCTCACAGGAAGCCCCTGAGCCTGCTGCTGGAGAGTCTCCGTCCCAAAGGGGAGCCGTTAGATCAGGGTTAGGGAGGTAAGGGTGTCCCAAGGAGCTGTAGGACCCAAGGTCAGTTCTTCCCTTGGGACAGATGGATCTTGTGGTTGTGCTACAGAGTTCCTCAGAGTGAACGTGGGGATGGTGTCAGTGTCTGGGGCTGAAGGGTCCTTTCTGAATCCCTTCTTACTTGGTCCCAAACCCCCTGAGGGAGGAGGTGGTCTTTGACAACCTGTTCATCTGGATGGTATGAGACCCTTAGGGAACCAAGTAGCCCTGAGGTCTCATCCTGGGCTCCACAGCGCCATCCAGACTGAGTGCTGGCCCACGAGAGCAGCACAGAGGGTCAGCCAAGCTTCAGTTTCCCACAGCCTCAAGTATGGGCTGAAGGTAGAGCACAGGCTTCACGGCCTGAGGGCCAGCCCTTCCCACATCCCTTTCCACGTCACAACGCCCCAGGGCCATAGCAACGCTTTGCCAGCTGGAGGACTCTTCTGCTGGGGGATGCTCAGGCCATCCTAGAGAGATCTGTTCTGCCCCCTGGGGCCCAGTGTGGGTGGCCCCAAGTCCATTTTATATAGCCGTTTTGAAGCCCGTGAGGGGCTAGGTTCATTTTTTTTTTAAAGATGACACTAGTGGCTGCCAGGGAGGCCCTGTTGCCAAGGGACGGTGGTGTGAGACAGGTCACCTCTGAGCCACGCGCTGCCCGAGACTGCTGCTGCAATGCTCGCCTGCCTGCAAGTGAGCAAGGGCAACCTTGCATGAGGTTGCCTGCATGCCGTGGCTCCGCCCCAGGTGCCGAGGGTCACTCTGTCCTGAGGGAGGTCAGTGCATGTCAACAGAGCTCAGCATGGCCGTCCGTAGAGTCTAGATAGTGGGTGAGGCAGGGATGAAGGTCCCGTGTACTCCATCAGGTTGGCCCAGCCACACGCTAAGGACACGTGTTGGGGGCCTCCCCTTCCCCATGTCTCTGTCAGACATCCCAGTGTGGCAGAGAGCCTTGGGCAGCAGGAAGACCCTTGCTGTAGAGCGTGCTGCCGTCTGGCTCCCACCTCCCTCCCACACTGAGGAGATATGTGCCTCGTGACTGCCAGGCTGGCTGTGGGTTGGGAGCAATTGCTTGACCTGAGGCCTGGGAACGGACGACGCCCTCCTGAGTAGGAGGAGCAGGCCTGAAGAGCCCAGGCTCTAGGTATCTGGAGTCCTGTAGTAGTTCAGTCCACTTTTGGCTCCGGCTGCACCTACTAAATTCTTTTCACTTGAGACACTCCAAACGCGGCTCCTCTGCCTCTCAACTGTGGTGTGAGTGGTGTGCACAGGTTCCTGACGGCAGTAAATCATACTTCAGGACTGATATGAATGCTGGTGAAAGACAGAGTCCAGGAAGCATACGGCCGGCTGGGGCTAGTACAGTCAAGGAGGCTGGGCCATGCACCCCATGCCGTGTCTGGAGCACACAGGGGCTCCTGGAGAGAGGAGCAGGAAGGATGCCGAAATGCCGCTGACGTCAGCCTGGGTTTTCTAGGCCTGAGCCATCGACATGGCTCACCTGGGTCCAAGTTTGCGCTCTAGCATGTCTGCCTCCAAGCAAACCCTCTTCTCTTCCCACAGTTAATTTAATCTCCGGTAGCACAACTCAGAACTGTGGCTTTGAAAGACTTGGAACCCTTCTAAGATGAAGGGCAGTCCTGGCGTCTCAGGGATGAGCCGTGTGGGAGGATGGCGGAGAGAAGGGGCAGCATCCACAGACAAGCGGGAGGGCTGCGCCAGGGCAAACTGGCCTGGCTCCAACTCTAGGGAGAGTCTAGCCACAGCGTCAGGCATGCTTCACGGTCCCCTCTGGAGAGAAGCCGGCATTTCCAGCTCTGGGAGCCCTCCTTGGGGCTACCTTGGGATGGAGGGGTCCCGGATCTGAAGATGACACGTGAGGCACAGGGTCACTTCAAAGAGACCTACTTGCAACAGAATTTTTGACACAGTGCCCACCATAGCCGTGCTCAAAAGCCCTTCAGGTTCCAAGATGGCACGCGGCGTCAGGTAGCCACGCCGTCATGCCCCAGCGTGGAGAAAGCCTGGATGGACTCAAGTTGCATCATTTGGCTGGTGAAGGAGGTGGTCAGCAGGCAGCAGCTGGGCCTGGTTCTGGTATCTGGAAAGAGTCAGCGTCAGGGCCGTAGGCGGACACAGACCCCTTCAGAATTCTCACTCAAGAAGGTGTGGCCTGGAAGTTTGCATTTGTGATCCCAACAGTGACATTGCTGCTGTGGCTGAAGGCCGTGTTTGGCCGTGTTACAGCCCTAGGACTAAAGATGCTGACCCCGTGTCCCCACCAGGTCTGCTGTGGGCAGCACAGGTTCCCCTAGTAGGCAGGAAAGCCTGAGCATGGGTATGGTCGGCTAGTGACTAGCTGCATGGGATGTTGTGGGAAAGGGCCCTGGGGACAAGGAGCTATGTACCCCACCATGCTGTGCCAGCCATGGCTGCCTCTAACCTGCTGCGTTGGCCACACGGCCACTTGACTCTTCTTGGGGAGCACTGGGCCAGGACAGGCTGGCCTTGCCGCCCCGTGCGGGGCCTTTCTGAACCAACACAAATCTTGTTTTCTCTCTTCCTCTCTCCCTTCCTCACTCCCTCCTCTCATCTTTCCTTTTCTGTAAGGTAAGCCGACTTCCTCTCTCGCTCTCTATTTTGGTTGTTTTAATTCTGTGATTCAAACTCTAAGCTCTGTTGTAGAGGACCTAAGTGCTGGGAGTGGAGGGTGGGGCAGAGGTAGGACCCTCGTGGTCTCTGCGGGGAGTGTCGGAACCAAGGGTTCCATCTGCTGAGCCCAGCTGTCTGCCGGGGCTTGTGGGCAAAGAGGCTGGTGGTGGTCACAGCCACCAAGTGGTCTCATGGCAAGGGCCGCTGGGCCATTCAAGGGGAGGACAGGGAGGCCAAATGGTGTAGCCCCGGTGCAGAGGTTTGCTGCCCGTCAGAAGGTGGAGGGGTGGGAGCTGGGGCAAGCCCTTCGGTGTGACAGCCGCTTTGACTCACCATCCTGGTGGGGACACAGGACTGCAGAGGGCAGGGCAGGTTGAGCATGACTTTCCCTTTACACCCTGATGCCTACCAATCGTGACCCGGCGCCGTCCTGGGGAGCTGGGGCAAGTCATCCTGCCAGCCTCTCAGGGTCACCTGAGAGGACAAGGAGGCTCCTGGGTGCCTTGCAGGGAGCTCCGGAATCACTGAAGATGCTGGGCGCGGGGTGGTCCTGGGTGAGGCTCCCTGGGCAGCCTGGCTCAGCACCCGTGGAGGTTCTGCTGCTGCCAGGGCCAGGCCAGATGTCGAGGCCACCCCTGCCTCTGGCCTCAGGCTGCTGGACCTCAGGCCCTGAGCTTCACTCCTGGAGAAAGGGAAAGGGGAGGGGCAGGGGCTACAGTGAGCCTAGGAACTCACGATCCCTCCTTCCTTCCCAATGCAGCAGCCAAGAGTTTACTCAACAAGAAAGCAGATGGAGTCAAGGTGAGGCGCCAACTGAGCCCTTTGTGGGATGCAGGGGAGGGCGCCAGTGCCTGCAGCTCGCCGCTGACCTCGGGGCTCTAGCTTCAGAGACTGGGCTGTGGTTCTGCAGATACTGGGGCAAGGAGGGTCTCCTTTCTCCCCTAGTGACTCTTCTCCTCTCTCTCCACAGCCACAGACAAACAGCACCAAAAACAGCTCGGCCATCACCAGCCCCAAAGGATCCCTCCCTCCTGCTGCCCTGGTACTGAGCCCCTGCCCCTGCCTCATCTCACTGACAGAGAGGCCTTGCAAGGCAGGGTCTGGTGAGACTGTGCGTCTCTGACCAAATCAGTCCCGCATGGAGACAGAACCGAATGGCATGGAATAGGGGTTTGAATCCCAAGAGGAGACACAATGGTCAGAGGGCCCCCCAGATCAGGCAAGACTGCTTGGTGAGCCCTTCCCTGGGACCTTGAGGTACCCAGGTGCTAGAGAGAGACAGGGCTTCCCAGCTGTGGTGACCATACCCTGCCTCCAGAAGCTCTTGTGAAAGGCCGTCAGGATGCCACTGAGGGGGAAGGCCAGTGGCCTGCCGTGAATCCCTGTCCTCTTCAAGGCCCTTGCCTTGTACATCTGGTCAGTCTAGCTTGGGGCAGGGCTCAGACTGGGCTCTTCAGGGATTGTGTCCTGAGTTTAATGAGGAGCAGCAGGGCCATGGGGCTGTGATGGGAGCTGTGTGGTTGAAGGGACAGCGGGCTTGTCCGTCTGGGACTATTTTCCTTAAAGCCACGTACCACACTGGTCTGTGGATTACAGAGAAGGAAGGCCAAGGGTATTCATGATACCCTTACTATATTCCTTCCTGTTCCTTGAAACAGCACTGGGCCAACTCTGTCCTCTGTCCCCCTTGCCCTGGGTGACTTGTTGAGGTGAAAGTCACAGCCCGGGGATGTGTTCTCAGCCTTCTGAGCTGTGGGGCTGGAGTCTGAAGTAGTATGGTTGGTATCCCCACAGGCCGCAGACAGGTGTTCCCTGTAGGAAATCTGGTTTTGCCAAGTCAGGGGAAAGCGGAAGCGATCTGTCCTGGCAGGATCCTGTCAGGGAGTTGCTCAGAGCATTGGGGCTATGGCAGGAGAGCACCAGGCGTCAGCTCACCTGGTGCCTGGGGTGGCTCACACCGGCCTCACAGCCAGCCCCGCCTTGGACCCCGTCCATCCCATGTGCCACCCCAACCCCCACACCCCTTCTAACCCTGCGCCCACTCCCATGCTGGGGCAGGAGGGGGAGAACTCCCAGAGCGCACACACATACAGTTTCTCTCAGGCCCTGTGAGCTCCATCTCTCCTGGCCTCTGGCAGACCTGCTGGTTCCATCATGTTGAGCGCACTCCGCACCCACCCAGGGCCATCGCTGACCGCCTGCCGCCTCCATCCCCACTGGGCCATCTCGCTGACCGCCTGCCTCCTCCATCCCTGTCCTCCGCTCTACACTCTCTCTGGGCAGACCCTGGTTGCGCCCACTCCTCTGGCTCCCTATCCTCTGCTTCATTCTTTCTCACTCCCTCTCTCTTTCCTTCCTCTGTCTGCCGCCCTCTATAGGAGCCTCAAACCACCGTTATCCATAACCCAGTGGACGGGATTAAGGTACTGCCACCACCTCACGCCTCGCCCTTTCCTTGGGCAGGAGGTGTGGGCCCAGGAGGAGGGTGTGGACGGTGACCTCGGAGAAGCATTTGTACCTATGATAGAGAGCAGACGTGTATGACCTGACCCCACCGTAGGGCAGAGCCCACAAGCCTACCTGCCGGGGCCATGGCAGGGCACGGTGACCCCACAGAAGAGAGCTCTCGCAGCTTCAAGAGTGCCACTGGCCGCAGGCCTTGGGGTCGGTCTGCCTCTCGGGAGCCCTGCCCCTGCTCGGCTGCTCTCCAGCTTCACCCCCAGTGTGGCCCCGGCGCCCCCCGCTCCTCTCTGCTCCGCCATCTGCCCCCATCACATCGGCATCATCACCCGGGGCCGGGAGGGGCTGGCTTTCTGTGAGGTGGGAGAGATGGGCAGGTGTTGGAACCATTTGCAATACAGCAGCTGTGCTAGCAGGCCAGGCGGACCCAGGCTCAGGCTCCCCCGTGATCTGACGAGGTGACCCAGTGGGTACCCCCACTCCTGAGGCCGGACTCTGCACCTGGCCTGTCCCCGTGCCAGGAACGAAGGGCAGCTATACGCCCGCAGTTCCAAACTCCAAATGTCTGCTTCCCTCCTACCTGAGTGACGGCTACCCCTTGCCCCTCATGTCAGGTGAGGTCACTCTCTCCTCTGAGGGACTACTAGTCAGCCTTCGGGGCCAGGGTAAGGGATGACTGTATATTTGAAGGCCCTCAGCTTTCTCCCATGTTCAGTCAGTGTCTGTCCCAAAGACCCGTGAGAGGTTTCTTTGGTTTCCTGGGGACACAGAGGAACTCAGACATCAGCCGCCACTTGAAGGTGGCAGAAGCTGGGCCTTGCTGAGGTTCCAGGCCTAGGCAGGGCATTGGGGATTCGTCTCTTCTGGGGGAAGGTGTCCCTCACCTAAAAGCCACTAACCACGTCTGCCCACTGCCGAGGTTTCGGGGCCTTCTGTCACTAAAAGTCAATCAAGCCCCATGGTTTTCCATCTTGGGAATCCTGAAAGGTCTGCTCTCAGAGTCAGCTGCGTGCCTCAGAGTCTCTTGGGGACGGTGACGTTGGAGCCCTTGCTGTTGGAAATGTGGTGGCCTGCAGGGGACATACTGAGCCCTGGCGTGGAAGCCCTTCTGAGAACATACGCAGCTAGAACTTTCTCCCCAGCCACCGGGAGGGTCTGTCCCCTGGAGCCCTCAGGGAGTAGCCAGGCGTAGGTCCCACCTGGAACCCAGGCTGAGTCCACCATTGGCGGTGTCCTGCCTGTCCTTGGCCGCACCTTGACCGCCGCCTCTCTGTTTCCTCAGGAGTCTTCTGACAGCACCAACACGACCATAGAGGACGAAGATGCCAAAGGTACCGTCACGTCATGGGGCCTCGCCTGCCCGTGCTGGGCTGCGGTGTTGGCGGTGGGTGGGCCTTCTGCAGCGTCTGTGGTCCTGCCGTGCAGGCCACGGGACAGTGGTTCAGGGGCCCGCCCAGTGTGGACAGGCGTGAGTGAGTGCAGGCCCTCCCGGTGTGAATCGAAGCATGTGTGGGTCATGGCCGGGGTGTCTCAGACATAGGGCACGTGTAAGGAAGCCACAGTCCTCCATCCTGGGCGCCGGGAACTCGGTTCTCTCAGGGTCTGAAGTGCGTGGGTAATATTGGATCAAGACACTATTCTTCTCTTAAATTGGTTCTGTCCATCTTGCCCGGACGAGTGTCCAGGTGGCTGAAGTGCTCTCTTTGCTTGGATGACTCAGGAGCTCCCTCTTGAGGTGGGCTTCTGTGCCACACCCTGAGCCCTGCCAGTGATGTTTGTTCTCACAGATGTCCCTAGTGCACCAGCCATCGGTGAGTGGCCTCCCAGCCCTCCTGGAAAGAGGTCTGACAGCCTCGGGCTGTCCATGGAGTCCTCACCTGCCCCTAGGATGGCCCCTTAGCATGTTCAGAGTTTACCGGTTTGCTCCTTCCCAGCTACGATGCTGTCCCTGAGTGTCCTCCACACTCCAGAACAGACGTTAGCACAGGACGTTGGTCCTTGAACCTAGGAGCCCTAAAAACTGAAGCAGGCCCCAGAGTCAGCAGCAGGAATGTTACCCACACCTCCTTGAGCTATGAGGGAGGTGGCTGGGCCTCAGGCTTGCAAAGGGACAGGAGCAGCAGGCCAGCAGCAGGTGAGGCTGGGAGTTGAAGCAGAAGTCAAGGTTAGGGGAAGCCTCAGGAATGAAGGGCAGGGCACTCATACCTCAGCCATGTACCGGAGCTGGGACGCAGCCAGGACAGTTCCCAAGGCCACCATACTCAGAGAGGACCGGTCTAAAATCCTAGCCTACTCTTGGCAGGGCCTGACATGGGTCCACAAAGTGAGCCCTTCTAACACCTATGGGTGGCCCGGAGTGGCCTCCTTACCTCTGTCCCCAGGCCCCAGCAGTGGCCTGGGATTCTGCAGTGTGGCCTTTCCAGCTGCCCTGTGCCTTTTGGCTCTTCCTGCCTCCTTCTGTCTTGGGTGTCTACCATCCACTGCTTGCTTCTGTTCTGCCTCAGCCCCCAGGGTCCCTGATGTCCTGAGCTTGGTGAGGAGGGGCTCAGGAGCCCCAGAAGCCGAGGGCCCCCTATCCTGCCCATCTCCAGTTCCCATTAGCCCCCTTCCAGCCCCGTGTAAGTAGCCCGGGCCCCGTTGCTGTGGGGATGACTTTGAAGGCCTGGAAACTCTGAGGGGACAGGCCTGGATTCCAGACTGGGGCTCCCCATGGCTGCCTCTGTCCAGCCAGAGCCTCTAATGTCTGTAGAGAAGCTGTCACAGCCCACTTCACTGCTCATGGCCACTGGGTGGTCCCTGAAGAATTTGGCCTTGACTTCTGGGCCTCCAGGGCCCACCCAAACTGGCCTCTACCCCACCCCTGGAGGCTTCTCGCTTCTGAGACTGGCACCAAGTAGGAGGCCGAGTCGCAGACTCCCTTCTGGTGAGGACAGGGCCCCTTCCCTGTCCCGTCAACTCTGTCGTCTCCTCGTGTCTGTCTGCCTGTGTTCATGTGTTCATCTGTCCCACCCCAGCTCCCAGGATCTCTGACATCCTGAACTCGGTGAGAAGGGGCTGTGGAACCCCGGAAGCCGAGGGACCCCTATCAGTGGGGCCCCCACCCTGCTTGTCTCCGGGTCTCCTAGGCCCCCTGCCCGCCCCGTGTAAGTAGTAGTCCCCAGGCTCGCTGCCTCTGCTACCCAGGGCTCGCTGAGAATGGCCAGCGCCCAGCTTCCTGCACCTGCCATGCACGGCCAAGCTCTCCCAGGCCAGGATGCCTGATGGGCGTCCAGTCTGGCCTTGTTCAAGCACATGTGACAACACAGCTGGGCCGCTACCTGGCTTCTCCTCTGGACCCAGAGCCTCTGACTCCTCTCCTTCCCCTCCTCTTCCCCTGCATGCTGCTCGCCTCACTCCATCTCAGACCCACCCCTGCGTAGTAATTAGCTGGGGTCCCCCAGACCATCTCTGCCAAGAATTTTCTAGCCATTCATTCCCTACCCTGCCCCAGTCACAGTGCCCCAGAGCATGTCTCCAGAGCAGCCCCTGATTCTTGTACTCTGTCCCTGAACACCATTCACTAACCAAGGCAGGGGAGGTCAAGGAAGGTGTCAGAATGGGAACCTCAACCAGGGCCTCGTAGGTAAGGAGACATGCAAAAGAGAAGCCTGGCTTTCCACTGGCCGCGGCTGCCCAGATGGGCCCAAACAGTGCCCCCTTCCGAACACCCCTCCTCCCCTCCATCCGTCCTCTACCCACCTGTCAAGTACTTCTCAAAGGTCGGTCGCTGGCAGCCTCTGGCTTCTCGGGGGCCAGGTTGCCTCTCCTTGGAGGGCATTCTCTGCCCTCGGCAGCTTCCAGACCCGCACACTAGAACGGACAAGAGCATCTGATCCCCATGTCTCCTTCCACACCCGCTCTGTCCTCCCCCCTCCCCTGTGTCCCCGTGAGTCCTGGTGCCCTCACGTCTCCCCCTGGCCTCCCCTACTCTCCGGCTTGGCTCTCTGTAGGTTTCTTTCCTGCATGTTCCTCCTACCTGTGTTCATGTGTGTCTGTTCTGCCTCAGCCCCCAGGATCTCTGACATCCTCAACTCAGTGAGGCGGGGCTCAGGGACCCCAGAAGCTGAGGGCCTCCCACCAGTGGGCCCCCCACCCTGCCCATCTCCGACTCTCCCCGGCCCCTTGCCCACCCCATGTAAGTAGCACTTTAAGTGGCCCTGGCAGCTCTGTGGAGGAGCAAGCCCCGTTGTGGTGCATGGCCAGCCAGCCCGACTCTGGGAATAACACAGAGTAGGGAAACGGGGGCACTGTCAGGTCACAAGGAATCTAAGCACGGGAAGAAAGCAGCAGCTTTCAGTAAATACAGATTACGGGCATAAAGTGAGTGTGTGTGAGCTCACGGGTGGGAAAGCTCCCAAAACACTTTACTGACCTGGAGTCCTTGCTACCATGCAGCCACCACTTTCTGGTAGGTGGTGAGCAGGCGCCCACCGGTGCACGAGGAACCCTTGAGGAAGGGCTGCTTGGGTGAGAGACCTTCCTGGACAAGATGACAGGAAGAGAAACTCCTGGGAGTTCTGGCATGCATGCCGGCTGCCCGGCTGGGCGTTGCGGGGGGTGGGGGTGCAGCTGAGGTGAGTTAGGGAGAGAAGCGCGGGCAGGTGGTTCTTCTGCTTGTCTGTCGACTGTCCGCCAGTATCACTTACAGGGATGGATGACATCCGGGGCTGCAGCCACCGCTGCCCCCGCCTCCGGGGAGACACGGGGCTGGGGGTGGCGCTGAGGTGTTTTCAGAGCAGAGGCCGCCGGGCCAGGGCCTCGGCATGGCAGGGCAGTGGCTGGGTGAGTAGCCGTGAGATGGGCTTGGGGCATCCTACCCCATCACCTCTGCCTGTTGGCCAGAGTGGGGGTGGGGATGCTGCAGGTGGCCAGAGCAGAGAGGCAGTCACAGTGGCCCACAAGGGTAGGCACCCACAGTTTGCAGGTTCAGAGGGGTAAGGGGCAGCCTCTGGAGGGTGTGAACCCCCTAGAGCGCTGCATGGTCAGGTGCGTTGTGAGGCGCGCAGCCAGGTTACTTTGGTGATGGGATGAGGGGGCAGGGTAGGGGGTGGATGGCAGCCGCTACTCCCGAAGCGTGGCGGGGACGCTCTCCACTGGCCGGCACTTGGCTGCTCTCTCGTCCGATCTCAGCCACATTGTTGTTGTTTGGGGGTCAGCCTGGAGCATGAGCTGCCGTTGGGGGGTCTGTGCAATGACCAGATGGCTGCTCTAAGGCCAGGTCTGTGAGGAGCACCAAGCGACGGTGTCACTTTAGAGCCTATGACACTTATCAGCCCCTGTGAGGTCTGTGCTATGCTTGTCTAGGGAAAGGGTCTTTCATGAGGGGTTGTGAGGATGACTGGGTGGTGGCATCTGGTCATCCTGTGAGGGGCTGGGCAAAAGAAAAAGGAGAGATTCAGTAAAATGTAGGGAAATGTGGGTGACGTCACTGGCACTGGGTCCCCCTTTCCTGGGAGGGTTACAACCCACCAACTAGGTTACGGGTTCCCATCAGCCCTCTGCAGGCTCAACCTCCTCCCCACCCATGCTCTCTGCACCCCAGGCCTCACGGTAATCAGGGATTACACAGGATTCTGGCTGATCCTGGCTGATCCCTACTCAGCTGCCCTGCCTGCCAGCTGTGAGGGTGGGGGCTCTGGGCCAGTGGCAGGGACACAGACCTTCACTGCTCCGACCCAGATACTTGGCTTCCCACAGGAGAGCCTTGGACAGAGTGAGTCTCCCACTCTGGGCCCCAGCCAAACCCTGCCTGCTCTCTGGCTTCTTCCCTGGACTTGCAGGGTACAGGGGCCGCTTGCCCTTGATCTCAGGGTTCTCCATCTGGGTTTCCCTGCATGCAGGGCTTCTTGGTCCCTCCCTCAGGTTTGGTTTCTACTGGTGTCTGGGTAGCAGCCATTGTGCAGGTCAGCAGGTGTCTGGGTCCTGATCACAGACAGCCTCAGCCTCCCTAACCCTCAAATGGGCCGGGTGGCTCTCACAAGAATTCGGGTCCCAGCACATTCTGACTGGTGTTGTGGTCATGGATCTCCTCTTAGTTTATTTAGCATTGACTCCCACAGTCTAACTTCATTAAACAGAAAGTTAATCCACTTGCCGCAGTGGAGGGTAGGATTAAAGCATGCTTGAAACCAAGCGGTAGTGTTACCTAGTTCTAGCCATTTTTGCCCTGTGCTGAGGGACTCCTGCAGAGGAATGGGTCAGCTGAATCTATTAGAAGGGTTTAACAAGCCCCAGGGGATACTGAGGGCATGTGGAGTGCAGAGTGGAAGCCTGGTTTTGGGGAAGGAGCTGGCGCAAGTGTAGAAGCCAGGACAGAAGCCCGAGACATCTCCAGAAGGAGGAAATGTGAGGGGTGAGGTGCCGAGGACAGTGGCCGCTGGGAAGAGCAGGTGCCGCTTTAGGACTGAGGTATCAGAAGCCGCCCTGGGACCCAAAGGGTAAGAACAAGAAGAGCTGTTTCGTGTTTGGGACAGAGCCTTGGCACTCTTGCAGAGTGGGGTGCATGGGTTAGGAATGGGGCTCAGAGCCCACAGCCTAGAGTCAGCATTCCAGGGTGACCTTGTTGTTAGAGGGGGTGGGCAGATAGTGGTGACCTCACCCTGAGTTCGAATGGTGATACGATTTAGATTCAAGAATAGGGAAGAAACTGGAGCAAGACAGCAGCAGGGGAGCTGGCTTAGCACAAGACGTTTTTCCAAGATGGAGGGATCCCATGGGCACACATGCATACACCCGCACATGCTCAGATATACACAACACGAGGACACTTACCACGCATTTCACAGACAAATGCGTGTGCATGCATACATGCACACATCTACACGACACTCACATGGACACTCGCGTGTGCCTTCTCATGCACACACAGATATTCACACGCCTGGCCTGATGCGCAGTGCACATTGTGCTGTATACATGTTCCATATACATTCATATGCGCCATCCAGCAACTTCTGCTGCCGATGTGTTGGACGTCAGAGTAATCTCAGCTCACGTACTCACGGGGAGAAGCAGGTGCCCTTTTGCTGATGCATACATGGCATACGTGGGCTTCTTGTGTGGTGGATTCTCCTCAGGGCACCTGGTGGGCTGGGTACCCACTGGTACTGGGAGCCCCACCTCAGGGTTGTTCTCTGTGCTTTCGTGTTTTCAATTCTTTCTGCTCAAAATGAAGGGTTAATCTGGAGGAGCAATGAACCTGAGGGTTGCAGACACTAAGGGTAGGGTTTTGCTAGGACAGCACATGGCCCAGGGCTAAGAGCAGGCTGGGAAACTGAATGGAGGATGGGAGGCAGCATGGCCTTTCAGAAGGTCTTTCCCAGGAGGGTGAGCAAGGTGCTGTCAGGAGAGGAGCGGAAGGACAGCCCCGGGGAGAGGCTGAATGGAAGCCCGGCTTCCATTTGTGGCTAGAGGGTGCTGGGAGGCGGCAGTGGGGCGGCTTATGGGCAGGCTTGCTCCCCTTCGGTGCTTTCGTTAGACGTTTTCTAATCTGACTGAGGTATTTGCTTCTTTAAAAAATACTGGCCGGGCGTTGGTGGCACACACCTTTAATCCCGGCACTCGGGAGGCAGAAGCAGGCGGATCTCTGTGAGTTCGAGGCCAGCCTGGTCTACAGAGCGAGTTCCAGGGCAGCCTCCAAAACAATACAGAGAAACCCTGTCTCGAAAAACCAGAAAATAAATAAATAAATAAACTGTACTTGATAAGAAGCTGCCGCCTGCGGGAATGCGGAAGCCGTTGGTGGCATAAGAGAGTCCAGTGTGACTGAGACCGTCTGGGTACAGGTGCCAGAGCCTGGGTCTGAAGAGGACAGACCTGAGCTAGGGCGGGAGCGCGGGAGCAGCCATGTGGGTCCTCCAAGGCCCCCTACCTGGACTCTGCTAGAGGTGGGGGTGTCCAAGGGTGTGCCGGGCCGGTGCCCAGTGGTCATCCCTGTTTTCTCCCTGCAGCCCGGAAGCAGGAGATCATCAAGACCACAGAGCAGCTCATTGAGGCAGTCAACAACGGCGACTTTGAGGCCTATGCGTGAGTCTCCGGGGGGGGGCTGGGGTGGGGGGTTGCAGAGGGCGAGGATGGAGGATGGGGCCCCTCCTCACTTGGGTTTGCCCCCCCAGGAAAATCTGTGACCCAGGCCTGACCTCATTTGAGCCTGAAGCTCTGGGCAACCTGGTCGAAGGGATGGATTTCCACAGATTCTACTTCGAGAACCGTGAGTGAGGAAGTCGGGGTGGCCATGTCGGGGAGACACCATCAGGAGGCTCCCCTCGCCCCTCAGTCAGCTCCCGGAGCTGTCCCTTCAGAATACCTGCTTGTCCGCAGTGCTGGCCAAGAACAGCAAGCCGATCCACACCACCATCCTGAACCCGCACGTGCACGTCATTGGCGAGGACGCAGCCTGCATCGCCTACATCCGCCTCACACAGTACATTGATGGCCAGGGCCGGCCCCGTACCAGCCAGTCCGAGGAGACCCGCGTGTGGCACCGCCGCGATGGCAAGTGGCAGAATGTACATTTCCACTGCTCGGGCGCTCCCGTGGCCCCGCTGCAGTGAGGTGAGTCCCCGGGGCGGGGCCAGGGGTCGGGGTGGGCGGCCGCGGTAGGGGCTGCCTAGGTGATGGGTGAGGGTAGCAACTGCCCCTCTTGGCGGGCTCCTTTCTGAAAGGACGCTAACTCGATGGCTTCCTGCCAGGACCTTTTCCAAGTGGCAAAGGCTTGGGTCCTTAGGGTGGGGGAGGTGTCCTGAGGAAGGTGACCTGCCCCCCTGTTTCAGGGCTGCGCCTGGTTTCACCGGACAGAGTTGGTGTTTGGAGCCCAGCCGCCCTCGGGGCACGGCCTGCCTGTCGCATGTTTGTGTCTGCCTCGTCCCCTCCCCTGGTGCCTGTGTCTGCAGAAAAACAAGACCAGATGTGATTTGTTTTTAAAAATAAGATGATGACAACGACAACCACATGCAAAAAAAAAAAAAAATTGGCATCGGATGAAATGGAGAAAAAAAAAACTAAAGAAAGGGAAAAAAGCTGTAAAAAAAAAATCTGGCACTTGTGGGGCCACCCCCCACCCGAGCTCCACATGTGTGTGCTGCGCTCCTGGCTTTGGGGACCCTCGGGGCGTGGATGTGCCCGTGCTGACCGTGTTAGTCTGTAGGCATCGCACTCACCCCTCCCCTCGGGCATCTGCACCCGTCCGCGTGCGCATGGGCCCCACTTGCCATGCTGACCTGGCTGTTGTGGTGTCAGGTGTCTTGGGAAGGGCTGGGGGCTGCCTCCTTTCCTGCTAGTCGTGCCTGAGAGTTGCTGCTGTCCCTGCTTTCCCTGCCGTCCCTCATCCCGTGAAGGGCTGGGTGGGTGCCCCTCTAGCCAAGGACCTGCCTTTGCCCCATGGAGCGAGTGGGAGAAGCCAGTCCTCAAGGTCACCAGAGAAGAGCTCCGGTTCTTGAGGGAGTGAAGCATGGAGGTAACACACCCTGCCTCCAGGCCTCATGCCTGGCAAGGGTTGGTTAAGGAGGCACGCAGTGCCAACCACCTAGCTATGAAGAAAGGACTGGGCCAAGGATGGCCTCCTTCCTGCTTGGGGCACTTGTCCCTTCCCCGCCACCAGCAGCAGAGCAACAGTGGCCCACCCCTGGCCTGGGCAGTTCCTTTCTGTGAGGTTGGCAGCAAACCCTCCCGAGGACTGAGGACCTGAAATACTGGTTGGATGCTGGGAGCAAGCCAGACTGCATCTGGGGTTGGCCCATTCAGCCTGGAGTCTGGGGGCTTGGGCTTGGTTGGATGACACGGAATGTGGTAAAGAATGGCCGGAAGATGGGGTTTAGGCTCCGGGCAGTGCAGGTCCGCATGGGCGTCTGATGAAGTAGGGGTGCTTTCCTAACCTGGCCTGGAGGGGAAGCCAGAGCCAGCCAGAGGCACATGGAAGGACAGGCCAGGGCTTTGCCGTGCGTGGGAGACAGCCCAGAGAGAGGCGGGCTGCGGGTCGAGATTTATGGGTGTGGGCCCTAGACACCAGTGGGTGGAGGGAGGGTCCGTTAGGACAGTGTGCCGCCTGCAGGGCCCAGTGGTGCTCCTAGGTGCCAGCTGCTTATTGTAGGTGGCCCTGGCCCTTGGTGATCAGGAGAACCATGCAAGGCTGGAAGCATTGTGGAGCCAGGCTAGGGGGAAAGGTGAAGCCAGGCTGGGTGGGGGTGGTGAGGAGCTTTGATTCGAAACAGTCCAAGGGCCTCCACCCCAGTGCTGCCCACTTTAAATTCACATCATTTCCAACCAGGATTTTCTTTGTCTTCTACTACAAATCAAGCCAGGGGAGGGGCATGAAGTGGGGAACGGGACACAGGATCCTAAACTCCAAGGGGACTGTCCACCTACGACACTCAGTGGATATCACCTTTCATCCACTGTGCCCGGGACAGCTGTCTCCTACCCATGGACACAGGGTAAACACCTGCCAGGCTCCACTTGAGTGGCCCAAGGCCATGGAGTGGCAGGGCTTGCCACGGACAGTGTGAGGCCCTGTGACCAGCCACCCTGGCATCCTGGGGTCTTCCTTCCTCTCCCCACCCACCTTGTTATCTCCACAAAGCTGCCTGTCTGGGATTATTTGGGGATTCTTTTCTGGGGACAGTTCTTTTGCATGACCCTCTAAAGAGCAGGCCACTCCTGCTCCGCTGGCTAGGTGTTCTCGGGTGGTGGTGTTGGCCGCTGGCCAGTGCTGCAGCGAGTCGCTGCCTGCAGTACGGGTGGCCCTCCCTCTTCTCTTTTTGCTGAGTTCCATTGTCTTTTCTTTCTGAGCCTTGTAGGTGTACAAAACTTATTCTTATTTTGTTCTGTCTCGGGAAACTGCAAATAAAAAAAAAAAGGACAATCTGCTTCAAGTACAGCTGAGTGCTTTCTGTTGGGCCCCGTGAATTCCCTGCTTGACCACACAGACCCGTCTGCTCCCTGGCCTAGACCGTAGTCAGGGTGGAAGGGTGGGGTCCTAAGTGATCAGTGAGGCATAGCCTCTCTTTATCCCTAGTGTCTCCAGCCCCAAAGTCCTGTCCTTGCCAATCATCCCAGTCACCAGAAGGGCAGCCACTGCAGGAGCCCCAGGTCCAGATCCAAGTGTCCTCTTGAGTTCCTTCTGTGACCTTCCCATTTGCTATGCTGACTTGTAGACATGAAGCCGTGTGTTAAGTACCCCCCAACTCTGCTCCCATGGGTTGTGCAGACAGCACAGCATTTACATGGTAGCCATCATGGGTGGCATCAAGAGGGTTCACAGAGAGGTTCGACCTGGAGCCCAAGTCAGAGATCTTAACTAAGAGCTAAGGGACTCCAAAAGTCAGGACAAAGACAGCCCCCAAGACCATGGCCAAGTTCTGGGGTCTGTGGGCCAACTTTGTCCTTGCTGCAAAGCAGAGAAGCCTCCTCCCCGGGCTTTCCCCGGCACCTCTACCCTAAGCACAGGGCAAATCTTTCCCTGTAATCTGTGTTGGTCCTGCCTGTCTTCAAGCTTATACATGAGGAGTAGGAAGGCTCAAGGGGTCCATAACTGGCCAACACTCCCAACTGCATCTTCCATCTTAGCTTTTTCTTTTTAATCATCTGAGGCATTTGTTTCTAAATACCTTCACTTTGTAAAGGAGGCCATTGGTGTTTACCTCGTGGTCTCTGGGTGTGGCCGAGTGAGGTGCTCTTAGGTATATGGACAGGCAGGCGGTAGTCTCCAGAGCTAGTACAAAGAATCCAGGCCAGGGTGCACAAGTGTAGCAGCAGTGGGCCCTCTATCTAGGGTTCCAGTCACCTATCAGCTGTAATCGGAGTAGAGTTTCCAGGCCAGGCCTCCCTCAGGAAGGCAACGAGCTGCCGAGTGTGAGCCTCCACCATGCATTATTCCTGAAGTCTTTCTGTGGATGGCTGACAGGGTTTTCAAGGTAGTATCCAGGTTAACTATCCCGCATGGGGCTGACCACTACAGGCAAGAGGGACGCCCCGAGGAGTGTTTCATTCATCATTGTTAAACAGCAGTCACTTTGAGCAAAGCCTCTTAGGCATCTGTCACCCTAATGAGGTTCAGGTTACTCTGAACTTGAGCAGGTCCACAGATCAGGAAAAGGTGGCCACTGGCTCCAGGGCTGTTTGTCCAAGCCAGGCAGAGGGGGCTCTGACAGCAGGCCTAGCTGACCTGCTGAGGGAGAGGCTACAGATGCTACCAATTGTTAGCCACTGGGGCCATTCCAAAAACTCAAAACCAGACTCCAGATTAAATACTCCCATCTTGACCCTCACAAGTTAGCTGTGCCCCTCAGGGTCAGGAGGCCCAAGCCCTGGAAAGCTAGGAGGTTTGGAGCCAACCTGCACCAAATGGGAAACTTGGGCAAAATAAAGCCTTCAGCTCTCCCAGGCAAGTTCTCCGATGTGAGAGAACTGGGTTCTGAAATGGCAAGGCTACTCCAGAGCTCCCTCACCTGGCCAACAGCAAACGAGGGAATAGGATTCCTACCAGAAAGGCCTGGAGGCTTATCTGGGACAGGATCCTGTACCTGCAGGAACAAGGTACCTGGTATCTCCCACCCCTCAGTGATTAGGCTGGGGACAGAGGTTTCCCTGAAGCTAAAAGTAAACACAGGACAGTACTGGAATTTCAAAAGACAATTTTATCTAGACAGAAACCTTCAAACAGAACAGAAAGTAGGCATTATTAAAATACACTTCCGCCAAGTGATTTAACATTAGAATATAATGGAGGGCAGACGGGGCACTCAATCCACTGCAGACCAGTGATTCCCTGGAGGACAGTCGTGTGTGGACAAAGGTTGTCTCTGTCCCACACACGCCCACCTCCACCCACCCCACTCTTCCCCAGCACCCTCCAGAGCAAGAAGAAAAACAGGCAGCACGCCAGGCCACTCATTCCACCTCTAGTGCCAGCGACAGGCTGGACCCTGGGATGGAGAGGTCTGTGGCAGCAGGAAACATATGGACAGGCCGCTCCAGGGGGAGCCTGAGCCCTCTGGCTAGCAGTACCCAGAGAAATAGGCAGATATACCAATAAGTAAGAATTTTGGAAGCCGTAGTAGACATCCCCCTCCCTCTACGGGTACTCTGAAGGTAGCTCAGCAGGCTCAGGGCAGGGACCATCAGAGTAAGCCAACTCTGGTTCAAAACTCAGAGGCTAGCATCCCAGCAGTTGTTTCTGGGGAGACAGGATCTCACAACAGACTCTGCACAGAAGAACATGAAGAGACAATGTGGGACCCAGCACATCCTGGGCTCACCACACAGTGCTGGCAGTGGGTGCTAGCTCAGACCAACCCCTCAACATGCCGTACCCTGCAGCCGTCTCTGACTGGGAAGGGCTTGTAGGCCAGAGATGGACAGACCACAGGTGGATGCTGGGAATCTTCAGGCTGCTGGAACCTCTCCTGAACCCCATAGGAATGACTTGTTCAAACATGCAGGCCCTAAGCAGTTGCCAAGGCAGCCTTGTAGACAGAGACAAATAAAACCATCCTTGAGAGATGATGGCACCTACTACTTTGATCTTGATGTCCAAAGTCCGACTGCAAGTCAAGGTGAGTGTGCCTCCACACTGGATAGCTGAGGGCACCTGTGTCTGCTTCCCATAAGTCGTTTTTCGTGGTACTAGATGAAGATATTTAGGATGGGCCCTGTCCCTGGCAGATGCCAACTCTAGCAGACAGGCAAGCCAAACAGGGGAGACCCAGTGACCACTGCCTTTTACAGTCCTGATGATGGTCATGGTGAGCTTCCCCCAACCCCCACAGTGCGGAGAATAGAATTCTGGAGTGTTCAAACTCTGCCTACCCCAGCCCTATCATCCGAGACCCCTCCCCCCCACCCCACGCATTGGAGAGTTAATATCGTTAACGCACAAATGAAATCCTAAGTCATACCAAGGATCAGGAAAGATTCCCTCCCATACAGCCTTCCAGGGTTAGCTGAGAATGAGCCCTTCAGCACCTATAAGAGTCACTTAGAGTTTATGGTTTCATTTTCCCAACATTACATCTTTGAGGACCTCAAATTCTTTCCCAAAGTCACAGCCACACATATGAACATCAATGTTCCCACCCTTAAGACATCCCTCCATTCCTCTTGAGAACTTCAAAATAAAAGCCGCCAGTCTGTCTGGCTCCAGATCTTCTTGTAGGGTATCGCTTCATCTCCAGGGGCTGTAGCTCTGATGTGACATGACGGTCCAGCGCCTGCCTCTGGGGGCTACATCACATGATTGCACAGCACGAGTTTTGTTTCCGGGCCTGGAAAGAAGGAAAAAGAGGATGAAGGGTGCCAAGGAAGGCTGGAGGTCTAAGGGCGTTGAGAAGGGCTGAGGGTGCAGGGGATGCAGCTCCACTGAAGCAATCGACAGAGAAAGCAAAACCAACGCCAGGGATGGCCCTCAAGGCTTCAAAGACAGCTGCCCACAGTGACACTGCTCCCAAGGCTAGGCTGGCTCCTTATGCTTTTTTCACACCCCATTAACGCTCTCAATAAATTGATAAAGTTCCTGCTGTCGGACCATGTGTAAGCAAAAGAAGTAATAATGGAAATTGGATTGGCTGAGTATCTCAGTGCTATCAGACCGGCCTGATGGTGTTTCTTTCTGGAGAATGGTCTTTCAGAGAAGAGACATGTTCTGGCTCATGTTTGTAGGGGTTGCTATTGTACCTGGTCTTACTTTCTAATCAAATGCCACCCTCCTAACCCCACTGGTCATCTTCCTCCAATATGCAACTCAATGTAAATATGCGCAGACAGACTCATCTCCACTTCTGTCCCACAATGGGTCACATATACAATGCGGGGCTGAGGAGATGGTTCAGCAGTTATTGGGAGCACTGGCTGCTCTTCCAGAGAATCAGGGTTCAATTCCCATCACCCACATGGCAGTTTATAACCATCTCAATACCAGTTTCAAGGAATTCTATGTTCTCTTCTGGCCTCTATGGGCACCAGGCATTTATGGGGTATACAAACATGTATGCAAACAAAACACCCATACACATTAAATAAAACAAAACAACACAATATTCACAACTGGAAATTTAAGTAATGCCTGGAGAGAAACTCAGTCAGCAGGAGGAGCCCTGCCAACGAAGAGGGAAATGCATTAGAGAACTAACGCATTAGAAAGGTGAGCTGCTGGCATCTTAAGATGCACTAATGCCTAACTGCTCTGCCAACAGAAGAATCGGAATGGGAAGATGGTGTTCGCTCTGAAGCCGGCCAGGCACAGCCTTAGTCTCGTACAAGAATGCCTGAGTGTAAGCTGCCCATCACTGGGGCTAAGCACTTGCTTTAGGCTCCCACATGCCAAGGAGTGGTACCCAAATCCAATCTTGGTTAAATAGACAGCTAGAGAAACAAGCTGCAATGGCTCTTGGGAGGGGAGACCCAGGAGGGACAGGCAGTGCTACTCACAGTTTTATAGAAGGCTTTCGACTGTGTTCCCAGTACTTCTGATTTGGACACCAAGTCATCAAGCTTCTCGCCTCGCTCTAACAAAGACTCCATGGTGTTATGCTAGACAAAAGAGAAAAGAGAACTCTTGGCTCTGCTCAGTTAAGTGGCTGCTGACAACAGCCCCTTATGGAGGCTGAATGGCTAGAACTACCTCCTCTGGGCCCCTACCCAACAGACACCAACAAGCACTGGGACACAGTCCCAGAAGGTACCTCTGCAGTCAATAGTGCAGCCTAGGGACTTTCCCAGTAGTTTCCCCAGCATAGCTTCACATAAGCACTGCTCTAGAAAAGCTTGTATTTGTACTTGTGTGCTTGTGCAGAGGTTTCTATGTGAACAGAAATACATATATGAGTACCACATGACTGTACTAGGATGGACAGTGGCTATCCAAAATTCACATCCACTCAGAACCTCTGAATGTGACCTGATCTGGAAATAAGGTCTTTGCAAGTGTCATCAGTTTAAGATGTGGTGATGCTGGATTAGGCTGGCCCTATTTCCATAACTAGCATCTTCATAAAAACAGAAATGTAGACTCACAGAGAAGACTATGTGATGACATAGGAGAAACTAAGGACAGCAAACACTGTCAGCAACTATCAGAAACCAGGGAAAGGCCTAAAGCAGACATCATTCACAAGACCCCAACAAGGAACCGGCCCAACTCAAACTTCAATAGCAAACTTCTAGCCTCCTGTGAGAGAACATATTTCTGTTGTTTGGAGTCATACAGTTTATGGCTACTTCTTAGCAGCCACAGGAAACTAATATAGTGAAAAAGCTATGTCATCTGACCCAGGAGCCAGAGAGCTACAGGACTTGAGATGAGACAAATCCTAGTATGTGCTTCAAGTATAAACACAACAGATTTCTGAGACCCAGGCTCAGTATGTAAAACACTTCATTAGCAGGGCTGGAGAGGTGCCTCAGTGGTTAAGAGCACTGGCTGTTCTTCCAAAGGACCTGGGTTCAATTCTCAGCATTCACATGGCAGTTCATAACCAGCTCCATCCAGCTCCAGCCCAGGGGAACCAATGCCTTCTGGCATCCAAGGGCACTGCACAAATACAGCGCCCAAACATAAAATGCCAGCAAAAACATCCTTACATATAAAATGAAAAATAAAGAAAAAAGTTTTAAAAAAGAAACAGTGAATCTTATTCTGAAGATATGGTAGAAAGATTTTGTATATTCGGGATTAAATAACATTAAATTTCAACTGCTTTCCTTTGTCATTTAAAAATAGGGCTCCTGGCCGGGCAGCCTCCAAAACAATACAGAGAAACCCTGTCTCGTAAAACCAAAAAAAAAAAAAAAAAAAAAAAAAAAAAAAGGGCTTCTTCAAAACTCAGATTTACACATACAATAGATTACATGCCTACTGGTAGCACCCTGACAGGAAGCACTGGGAAAAGAGGAAGTCAGGGATGGAGGTCCTCCCAAGAGCAGGGACCCAGCTGCCTGGCGCATGAGGAAGAGCAGCTCATTTCCCTGTCTAGACAGCCGCTGCCAGGCAGCTGCACAGCTTGTGTGACATGGTGTCACCTGAGGGATTAGTGCATGAAACACTAGCTGACGGCCAGGAATGCAGCTCACTGGCAGAGTGCTCACTGAGCAGCACACACTGACATCACCCTGATTCCCAGCTGGGTCTCCTCCAGCAGAGGTGCTGTGACCTAAGATGGGGTACACAGAGAGTCTGTGACTATCATTAAAATAAGAATGGACTGTGTGTCTGGTCAGAGGCGCCCCCCACCCCACCCCGCCTCTAGCTCCCATGTCTGCTCTCCACCTCCCTGCTTACCAGAATGATTTTGGTCTCGTCCAGTTCAGCTTGTACTTTGCTCATGGGGTCAGCTTCTCGGGGGTTCTAGGAACCAAAACAAAAGCAAGACTAAGAAAGGGTTACCTATAAACAAACTCGAACTAAGGAAGCTGAACCAAGTCTCAAAATAAAAAGGCACAGAACAGAGAACGCAAAAGTCTGTCTAGAGTTAGATTTCTAAGTCTGAAAGTATTTCTCTGTGTTGTCCAAACAGATGGTTCACCTTGCATCAGCCTTGAACTGTCATGGTTACTGACCCTTCCCAGGTCACAGCGCGTCTAAGGCAGCCTCTAGAGGTTGCTTCTTTAAACTCACCTGGTATCTACTAAGGTGACCATCCAGGGCTGTGTACTGGATTGTAGCAGGTGATCCTACTGGCCAGTCTATCCTATCCACCTGTTTGGAGAATTCATCTAGTACCTGCAAAACAAAAGAGATGCAACATATCTCCCACCCATGCTCACCAGCACCTTTGGTGACCCAATTTCGCCAACAGCACTCATCCCAAATGAAGCTCCCAGGCTCCCCAGGTACGAGGACATCTAATGGCAAGAGAACAGTCTAGCTTCAAGTTCCTTTTTTCAAATGTTTACACATCCTAAGTAGCCGAGAAACAAAAGTAAAGTGTGCCCAACCTAGGGTAAACTTCACCTGGAGAATGATAAAAGCATTCTCATTTTACACTAGTTTTAAACTAGCCCTCTAGTTTTCTAAAGTAGTTTTTCAAAAAAGTGAGCTAGGTTCTTTGGATGTAAGCAACCACCAAATTCCATGTACATAGAAGTGTTCTGATGCTGTGAGGAATAAGACAAGGGAGCTTCTGCCTCAAAGTTCACAATTAGAATTTACTGGGTATTGAGCGCCATAGATTGGCTGGGAATGGGTGTGGTGTGCTGGCACATGCCTTTAACCTCAGTACTCAGGAGGCAGAGACAGGTGGAACTCTGAATTTGAGGCTAGCATGGTCCACATAATGAGTTCCAGGCAAGGCAGGACTACATAGTAAGACCCTGTCTCAAAAACAAACAATTACCTCCATGAAGTCACTGACCTCCACCAGGGGAGAGAGCTAAATGACTGCCTGCAGGAGCAACAGGAAGAGAACAAGGAGCCTTCAGCAAAAGTGAAGGGAGAGGTGGCAGCTGTGGCCTCATTCCAGAGAATAGGTAATGCAACCCAGTGGCAGGGCTAGCACCAAGCACAGGAAGGGCAGAGTTAGCACCAAGGAGGAAATAGATAGAGGTAGGGACTCTAAGTGTCTCCTGGTTTGGGTGGAGGCGATGGCTGAAAATGGGGCCTCTGGACCAATCACCCCTTGTGCTTCAGGTACTTATCTAGCACGCTGCATACCTGTCATCCTAGTCTAGTACAGTAGCACACTCACCTTCTCCAGCAAGGTAAAGGCCACTCTGGAAGGGTATTCGCTGTCAGCAATGACCACACCTGCAAGACTGTCACTCCGGACGTAGACATGGCAAAGATACTCTAAGGAGATAAGAGACCTCACATGGGGCTTCTGACGTGAGGGCTTCAAACTGTTCTGAATCTGCCAATGCATCACAATGCTGGCTCTGCTTTCTAGGTCAAACAAAGCCACTCTGAGACTACCTGGAACTCAAATGCTCTGAATGAGCCTACTCAAGGCCTCTGTACCACACAGTTCTAGCATACTAATACCCTATGTTCCCTGAGACTGTGTGTAATGAGATCAAATGAGCTGCCAGGGATGGAAAACACACCAGAATCATATCCCTCAGAGCAACTCCACATCACTGCCTTTAGCTCAGGCCAGGCCTGGCTAAGCCTTGGCAATTTATGGCCCTCTGAGGCTGTGTGCTGTTCCTAAATTGAGGGCACACAAGGCAAGTCAAGCTGCTGCTGCTTCCTTAAAATAATTTCTTCATGAGCCGGGCAATGGTGGCACATGCCTTTAATCTCAGCACTCGGGCTACAGAGGCAGGTGGATCTCCGTGAGTTTGAGGTCAGCCTGGTCTACAGAGTATCAGGACAGGCTCCAAAGCTACAGAGAAACCCAGTCTCAGGGGGGACTGAGAGGCAGAAAATTACCTCCTACAGCTCCTGTGATAAGACACGGTTTGACCTACTCCAGCCTGTGGTGGGTGGCTAAGAGGAACTGTCTAGAAAACAATTAGTTACTCCTGGGCTGGGGCCTCTAGTGTTACCGCACTAAAGCTGTCATATGGTGAAAAGGGTTTACAGAAAGACCTCTGCAAAACAACCGTAATCCATAGGATTGATGGTTTCCATCACTTTTAAAGGTTTCAGAGATGAAATGGCTAACCATATGCTCAAGGTAAGAGAACCAAGGATGAAAGCTTACAAATAATGACCATCTTGCTTTAAGGATCTGACCCAAAAGATTCCGATATTAAACAGAAAGAAAAAAAAGAAGAAAGAACTTTAAGTCCCAGGAATCAGACAGGGGCAGAGATCAACAAGAACGGAGAGGTGGTGAGATGGAGAATTATCATCTTATTTTGCATACATTCCCAAATAAGAAAGAAGCAAACATGGAGTCAGTTTCCATAGAAACTGAGAAGCTTGCCAGTGTGAGGAGAGCCCTTTTCATTTCTGTGATAGTCACAGCACAGACATTCTTCATGGAGAATATATGGTCAGCATCTGTGTCTGTGACTCTGATATCAGTTCAGGAAATCAATCCTAGGACTACCATCTATGTGAGGTCACTGTCTTAGTCAGGGTTTCTATTGCTATAATGATACACCATGACCACAAAGAAAGCTGGGGAGGAAAGTGTTTATCTGTCTTAACTTCCAGATCACAGTCCATCATTGGAGGAAGTCAGGGCTGGAACCTGGAGGCAAGAGCTGATGTAGAGGCCATGGAGGGGGCTGCTTACTGGTTTTTGTTCCATGGCTTGCTCAGCCTGCTTTCTTATAGAACCCAGGATCACCAGCCCAGGGATGACAGCACCCACCATAGGCTGAGCCCTTCCCCACTGATCACTAAATGAGAAAATGCCTTACAACTGGATCTCAAGGAGACAGTTCCTCAGCTGAGGCTCCTTCCTCTCTATAACTTGTGTCAAGTTGCCACACAAAACCAGCCAGTACAGTTGTCTTTGTTTATGCCTGATGAAATTCATCTAATTTCAAATTTATTTGTAAAATGTGAGTCTAAAATAAATACCCAAAACTGATATCTAAAACCTGAATTATGAAATAAAGGAAAGATTCTGCTAAAAAAAAATCTTAAGGAACACAGAACACAGCATTACCTCACAAAGCTAGCTAGAAATCCTCCTTTGAAGCACCTGCAACTCCGGGAGGAACAGTAGAATGGGAGGCTGCTGACGGCCCGAGACCACCAGTCCCTATCACTTCTCAGCCTGCAAGTGAGAGTCTAATCTTTACTGAGTGCAAGCTGTGCAGGTGCAGTTGCATAACAAGTTATGTATGCTGAACTTGGACTTCAACATTGGGTTCAGAACTCTACATAAATAGGAGAACCAAGGAGAGGAGACAGGGTAGCAGAAGACCATGGTCCTGGGAATGATGACACCGTGCAGGCAGCACCGTGCACTGTCTACGGTGTGACAGCCGGGTCAGCACTCAGAAGGTGATGAGTGCTCTTACCTTGTTCCTTGACAGAGGCTCTGCTGCCTTTTGCCGATCGTTCCACAATCAGTTGACTTGTAAAGGTCATGAATTCCTGAACACTAGGAAACACAACACACGTTTATAACCTTCTTTCAAGTCACATTGGCCCTAACACAATGGAAAGAGACCTCTGAGGTCTAAGTTAAGGAGACAGTCATTGCCTCTTGGTTTTATTTCATTCCCTCTTAACCTTAGAAACAATAGTAAACACACTGTACCAACCACTTCCAGATAGCTAGGATATTTTCTTTCTTTCTTTTCTTTTTGGTTTTTCAAGACAGGTTTGGAGTCTGTCCTGGAACTCACTCTGTAGACCAGGCTGGTCTCGAACTCACAGAGATCCACCTGCCTCTGCCTCCAGAGTGCTGGGATTAAAGGCATGCGTCATCAACAGTCAATTAATATTTCAATGGGAACATAATTTAGGGTCCAGTGATTTGGCTCTTTGGATAGGAGCACCTACTGTCAATCAACCCTGACCACTAAGTTTAATCCCTGGAACCCACATGGAGAGATGACTCCAACAAGTTGTTCTCCGATCTCTATAAGCATTCCATGATGTGTGCTATCACTCACTCTCTCTCTCTCTCTCTCTCTCTCTCTCTCTCTCTCTCTCTCTCTCTCTCTCTCTCTCTCTCTGCCTCCCTCCCTCTCTCTCACACACACAGGAAATAAAAATGTGATTGAAATTTTCTAAAAAGTCAACATGCTCAGGAACTAGTGGCAAAGCAGAGAGGAGGGAGGGAGGGAGGGAGGGAGAGAAAAAGAGAGAGAGAGAGAGAGAGAGAGAGAGCGCAAGCGCTTGCTCAGGTCTGCTGATGTCCCGAGCACTGTGGAAGGAATGAAAAGAAACAGTTTAGTCAAGGTTAGAAGTGGAAGCAGCTCATAAAGCTGCAACAGAGGTTTGTCATGGGCCCAAAAGAGAGTGTAGACCTGGCCAGACTGGGAGAATTTCAGGAGATGGTCCAGTCAGAGGAGAGATGAGAAACCCTCAACTGCAGATGCATGGTAATGGGCAGCCAGGGCCATCAGTACAGGGTTGTTTGTGGTTTTGTTGAGGCAAGGTCTATGTAGCCCTGGCTGTCCCAGAATCCTTACACAGACCAGGCTGAGAGATCCTCCTGCTTCTGTCTCTTGAGTGCTGGCATTAAAGGTGTGCACCACCATACCTTGCAGTACAGGATTCTTTTATTTATTTATTTATTTGGTTTTTTGAGACAGGGTTTCTCTGTATTGTTTTGGAACCTGTCCTGGAACTCGCTCTGTAGACCAGGCTGGCCTCGAACTCACAGAGATCCGCCTGCCCCTGCCTCCCGAGTGCTGGAATTAAAGGTGTGCACCACCAATGCCCGGCTGTAGTATAGGATTCTTAACTGCAATATCTGAAGATCTAACTCTGAGATTTCAAGTCTTACTTGTGTCAGACTGTGTTGATCTCGGTAGTAAAGTCAAGTCTGGTGTGATAGTTAAAATGATTAATATATTAAAAGCACCTGGTACCTTGCCTGACACACAATATGCTATTATTATCATAAGGAAATGGCATGGTCACATAATCACAAAAAAAAATCTTTAAATTTTTTTCTTAACTCCTCAAAAAAGCCTTTGCAAAAAACTAAAATGACTATCTATAGCAGGGGTATAGTCATGTATTAGGAATAAGTGCATTAATTGTGAGAGACTATTCAAAGACTTTAGTAATCACAGTGACATGAAGGATGAAAGTGAAGGTCTCACAGAACTGGAACACGTGTGTCTCTGTCACTGCTAGTCATTTGGACTAGCTAATGTAACAGTGCCCAAGAATAAGACAGCGGTACAGTGACAGCTCTGGGAAGCTTTCATATAAACAGAAAGGGAAAAACTTTAAAAGACCTAGAGTCAAATTGGCACGAAAGGCTCCATCAGAGGAAAACGTCAAGCACAAAGCAGAGAGCAGGAAGAAGTAAGCAGGAGCCAAGAGATGACACAGCAATCCCGTTTTTGGAACATAGGCCACAGAAAACTGAGCTGGGTCTCAGGGTGCTCGTGTGGGCGCACACCCATGTGCAGGGGCGTGCGCACATGTGGCACCATTCCTCGGGAGCTCGCCACCTTAGAGGAGGCTGGCTTGGAGCTCCCAGAGTAGGCCAAGCCAGAGAGTCATGTCATTATGCCCTGACCCAGCTTTGGAGTACAAGCATGTGCCACAACACCCAGCTGTTTTTTGTTTTTGCTTTTTCACTGTATTTGGGACCAGACTCAGGTCCTCGTGTAGGAAGCACTGTCCTGAACGAGCTAACTCCCCCGTTCAAGCTATCTTCCAACCCGTTGCGAACCTTATTCACACAGCCTCAATGTGCAGCAACTCATGTCCATCAGCAGACAGACCCATAAGCAAAGCAGTGTGCACATAAAACTCAATATTGTATAGACTTTAAAAGGAAGATTTTGGTATCTGCAGCAACAATGGATGAACCTTGGGGCCATTCTGCTGGGTAAAATCAGCGAGACACAAAAAGACAAATACTATTTAGTTCCACTTATATGGAGTGTTTGGAAAGGTCAAGACCAGAGACAGAAGAACCCCAAAAGGCAGGCTTCTCCCAGACTTTGGGACAAAATGGCCAATGGCCCTATCCTGTTGGGTCCTTCTCCTTTTATGTCTGAGTCGCTCTGCCCGCCCCCACAAATGGCCTGGGTATCTGTGGCACTCTAATTAAAGTACTCCAGAACCCTTTAAAAGCCAGCAAGCCCTACAAATTCAATGCTTCCGTCCACATCAGAAGCGAGCATCCTCTCTGGTCACCAGGAAGGGCCTAAACACCAAGAAACAGAGAAATGAGTTTGACTTCTAGCTGTGCCCAACGTCCAAACCTTGAGGGATCAATGACTTCAGTCATAAAAAAGAATACCTCCATACGTTTTATATGGATTTTGGAAAGGGCTCTGACCAGCGATTCTCAACATGTAGGTCGCGACCCCTTTGGCAACCCTCCATTTCCAAAAATATTGACATTACCATTTACAACAGTAGAAAAACTAGTTACGAAGAAGCAAGGGAGGTCACCACAACACGGGGAACTGTATTACGGGGTCGCGGCGTAAGGAAGATTGAGAACCACTGGCTTTGACGAAATGCAAGGTGGCTGTTAAGATACCAAACACTTTGGGTGCAAGGCGGCAATCAATACTTATTATCTACTTCACCACCGTCGGTAGTGAGCCTGGTACTCCGCACGATTTTCCAGTATTCTGCTAATCTTTCTATAAGGGATGGCAGAGCCCTTTACCAGGGATGCTGAAGACTCCTCCTCAGGCACAGCCCGCTGCCCGAGGCCGCGGCTGGGCTGCCCCCGAGAGACCCGACCCCGACCCCAGGCCTCCCGGTCCACTCACCTGGACCTCTGGAAGAAACTGAAGGAGGACACGTCGTACGCGGCTTTGAGCAGCACCGCTTTGGGCTCGCTCTTGTAAAGGACGCTGAGGCTGTACAGCTTCATGGCGCCGCACCTTCGGGCCGCCGGCTGGACCCCAGACCCGCTCTCGGGAGCGCGGCCGCCGTCCTTCAGAACAGCCGCGGCCGGCTGCTGACGGGGCCGCGCCGGCTTCTTCCTCCTAGCTTGGGGGATCCACTTCCGGTTCCGGTCGAGGGGCGCTTGACGCCCAACGGAGGACGGAAGGCGGCGTCCGCGCGTGCGCGTGCGTGCATCTAAGGGGCGGGGCGCGTCCTCGTCGAGCGAGGTCGGTGCCAGGAGGCTCGGGCGCCGCCTGCGTGGCAGGGCTGTTCTCTTCCGGGCGGTCCCGAGCAGTCCTGTGCCCCGCCGAGCCGAGCCGAGCCGAGCCGAAGCTTCTATCTCCTCCTCCCGCTAGAACAGCAACCCATACCTGTCCCTGCGCTCTACTTCTCGGTGCACCTCACGTGTAAGCACCAGGCCAACCAGCCTTCTTCCCTGTGTAGCCCCCAAACAGAGGACATTGCAATAAGGGACATCAAAAACGTCACTGGCCGTGGCCAGGCCCAACCGCCCCTCATATGGGCACGCTTGTTCGACAAGCCACGCGGCCAGATGCTGTCTTCCGGCCTCCTTCGCCTGCACTGGCGGAAGGTGAGGACAGTTTCTGTAGAAAATCGCTTCCCATGAAATTATACAGGATGACCAGGAGGACAGTGAGCGGGTGGAAACCACTTGCAGAAAGAGATTTAGGAAAATGGTTAGTAAGAGGCAGAGCTGGGGTTCAACCATGGACCCAAAGACGCTCAAACTTGCACTCTTCCTCCTCTGACTTTAGTCAGCCCCCCTCGGCCCCGGGAAGACCCATCTGATCGTATGCTAACTTCCCAAGCCAAGCTTGTTACTCTATTGCAAGGGATAATTGTCTCCCATTCCCTTCCCCCAAATTCAGCCCCAGAAACTTCCACACCACAAAGGTGAGGGTCCTCCCCTCCCCATCTGTTAAACTTTTGTAGACACGGTGCTAAAGACGATAAGGTATAATATTCCAAGCCCTCCTCATTGCAGGTGTTTAACAACAATGATGATTATTTGCATTATTATCTATGCTCAATAATCAAAAAAGAAAAGAAGAGAACTCGTGATAGGTTGAAGGCACCCTACAGGCTGTTGGAAGCAGAGATTTAAAGGGAGGCCAAGATCTGAGCAGGGTCTATTGATTAAGTAATAGCACTGTATTTTCATTTCTTGCTTCCAGTCTTATGGGTAGAAATAAATGAACATCATTTATATAATCATGAAGAGTTCATACATATATATAATATGCATGCCTACATGTAGGTATATCTCTATATATGTATGTCTATATACATGCACGTATGTGTATGTACGTGTGTGTTAGAACATATACACGTGCATGCCTATGTTGGGGTCCTCTATAGGAACAGAACTGATAGAATAAATATACATATATTCTAAAAGAGGATTTATTAGATTGGCTTCAGGATGCTGTATACATGCAGCAGTGGCTGTCTCACACTGGAGAGGCCAAGAATCCAGTTGCTCAGTCCATGAGACTGGATGTCTCAGCAGACTCAATCTAGTGCTGGAACTAACTCTGGAGGATTCTTGGTGATTTGGTTAGGGTTTCTGTTGCTGTGAGGAAACACCAAAAAGCAAGTTGGAGAGGAAAGGGCTTATTTGGGTTACCACATTGCTGTTCAGAGGCCCAAAAGGGGTGAGCTGCTTATTGGCTTGCTTCCCATGGCTTACTCAGCCTTCTTTTTTTATGTACACAGTGTTCTGTCTGCATGTATGCCTGCAGCCAGAAGAGGGCACCAGATCTCACCATTAGAGATGGTTGTGAGCCACCATGTAGTTGCTGGGAATTGAACTCAAGACCTCTGGAAGAACAGCCTAAGGCGTTTCTCCAGCCCTCAGCCTTCTTTCTTATAGAACCCAGGACCACCAGCCCAAGGATAGCAAACCCACCATGGCCTGGCCCCTCCCCCATTTATCACTAATTTCAAAAATGCCTTGCAGCTGGATCTTATGGAGGCGTTTCCTCAACTGAGGCTCCTTCCTCTCTAACCTATAGCTTGTGTCAGGTTGAAACACAAAGCCAGCCAGTGTGCCTGGAGAGGTTGGTCTTCGGTCTGCATTTGATCCCCTGAGAATTTGGTTCTAATGTAGGTGAAGGAACGCTACAGCAACAGGGTAGTGGCCAGCGGGTGAGAGGCAAGGTTTCCTTCCTCCAGCCCTGCTGCCTCTGCTGCCTTGCCCAGCTCACAAGAGGTGCCTATCCCAGCTGTGCAGCAGAGGCCCTGAGAGTCCGAGGGGACATTGAAAGGGATCACCTGTGTGGTGAAACTCCCATGAGATCAGCTGCGTACATCTTTTAGTGCTAGGGATAGAGCCCAGGCCCGCATTCGTGCTAAGCCGGTCTCCTGAACTTGCTGCACCCCTGCACAACTCCGTATCCTCTGTGCACAGATTCGATAACCAATACAATCTCCAGCGGACCCTGACCCTAGGAACACAACTCCCACAACCCTTCACTGGGATGTCCTCTAGGCAGCAGGAAGACAGACATGGTCTGCCGTAACTTTTTATTTATGCCACTGGCCGTGTCAGGACAGAGGAAGGGCAGGGATAAGGCTGCACTTGAGCAGGGAGGGCTCACAGCCAAGGTAGACACAGCCAGGTGAAACACATAGGAGCTTTCCGAGTCAGCAAGACGGGGATTTGCAGACTGCCTTCCCTGCAGGGGCTTTCCCGAAGCTGTATTTGCCCTAGAGACAGCCTTCCCTGGCTGAGAACTAAATGTACTGGACAGATGCCAGCCGTTTGAAATGGGAATACATGGTCATTTAGGCAGCTTGCTTACGCTGTCCATGATACTTGATGACTGTGGCTCAGCGCTCTACAGACAGAGTGGAAGAGAAGCCTCAGAGAAAACTGAGGAGCAGGCGGGAGAGCCTTCAGGGGTTACTCCTGTTCCACAGCCTGCAGGGACTTCCCTCAGCTCAGTGGGTGTGGGTCCCACCTGAGAACAGGCATATACAGAGGAAAGACAAGAAAATGAGGCATGCCCTTGGAGCTAGGCACATCAAGCTAATCCTGGCAGCTTCCATAGCAACAGTCACAGAGGAAGAGTCCTTGCAGGGAAACTGTACCGTGGGCTATGGACGCCACTGATCCTCATGGCCTGACTGGCCCAATACTGAGCTAATAAGAAACCTCTGCTGCACCAGACCAGACCTCACCACACCGACACTGGCCATTCAGTCCTACCTCCCGCTGCACACAAAGACTGCCCTAGGATTTGAGAGAGTAGTAGTAAGGGTGTTAGAGGAGTAGCCAGAACACGAGGGATGCCATCAGAACGCTGGATGGGTCTCCTAACAGTCACAGAAAGACTAGTGGGTTTGTTAAGTGGGTGGTTTGGAAAGTTGGTGGGGGGTTGCTGTGAGATTTTGCCTCTCAGAAATGATAAGGAAGTCTTTCCCATGACACCTCAACAGTATGGCTGTCTAAACAGGACCTGAGCAAGTACAGCACCAATAGACATGCTTACATAGAAGAGGGAAACATCATGGGGCCCCGCCCATAAACAGACCTACAAGCAGCTGAGGAAGGCTGAGAGCAGGAGAAACAGTATTCCCCTTTTATGAGCCCCCAGTTGGCTATCCAATACCAAGTGGTCAGCCCTGAAATCATACATGCAGGGTGCAGTAACTAGACTGAACAGGTTTAGTTATGTGTTTATTCATATACATGTATAAACAGATAATAATAACAGACCAAAGGTCATGGGTTAGAGAGGGAGCCAGGTGGGGATAGGGGAGGAAAGGAGTTAGGGGAGAGAAGGGGGAAAGTATACAGTTATCCTTTAATTTCAAAAGCTCGAAAATAAAAGATTAGAACGAAAGGTGGAAGAACATTGTTAGTTTTACAACTTGGGATTGGAAAGGCTTTCTTTAACAAAACCTTAGTCCCTTAGATAAGAGGTTGGAATTCATGAAAGTGGATACTTATGTATGATGCAAGACACTATTAGTCAAGTTGTCCACTTAGCAGCAAACGGTGAAATACAACACACTTGGCAAACCAAAGACTATTAGATATTTTAGAGGGAATATAAAAATTGTTCCCACAGCTGATGGGTAGAAAGGTCAATAACAACATAGTTTTTGAGTAAGTAACCCTTAAAAGAAGAAATCCAAGGCCCACCAAGTTAGGGGAGGGTAGGATGATTGTGTGTGTGTGTGTGTGTGTGTAGTCAAAAAGATACACTTGAATAAACATGCCATTATGAAACCCATCACTCTGTACACGTAATATATATGCTAAAAAGTACTTTTAAAGTTTTAAAAGAGGAAACACTGGGCTGGAGAGATGGCTCAGTGGTTAAGAGCACTGACTGCTCTTCCATGGGACCTAGAGTTCAGCTCCCAGCAACCACATCAGGCTCTCACAACTGCCCAGAACCCCAGCTCTAGGGCATCTGATACCATTGGCCTTTGTAGACACACACACACACACACACACACACACACACACACACACACACACACACACACACACAGGAGAAACACAAGAAGCAATAGACATATAACAGTTCTAACAGCAATAAGAAGACAGAAAAACCATAAAGATTTATTGTCAATGATTGCCAACAATGTAGCCAAACTCCTAATGTTGGTAGAAGTATTAATAGGTGGGTAAATCCACTTGAAAATGTCATGTGGCCCTAGCCGGGCGGTGGTGGCGCACACCTTTAATCTCAGCACTCGGGAGGCAGAGGCAGTCGGATCTCTGTGAGTTCGAGGCCGGGCTGGACCGACAGCCTCGAAAACAATACAGAGAAACCCTGTCTCGTAAAAACCAAAAAAAAAAAAAAAAAAAGTCATGTGGCCCTAGCTGCCAAAAATGTAAGATACATACACCCTTTGAACCAGAGGTTTGCTTCTACAAACCATCAATGACCAACACTCATCATATTTACTCAGGCAAAATGCCAAGATTTCTATCCTGGACTTCCTGGAAACTGAAAAACTCTGAAACTGTCAGTGGAAGTTGATTTCGAAATACAGTATCTAGAAAGATCTACCAACCGTCCTGCTCACTCTGCTGTTCAGTTTCAGAACAGTAGTGGCTCAGGTCAGGGGTTGGCAGCCAGCCCACTTTTATTAACAGTCACTAGCCACGCTGAAAAGGCCAGGGCTGACGAGAAGGGCTGTAAGTGTGAACTACAGAACTGTACACGGGACCACAGTTCTGGGTCAGAAGCTGCCTTTTGCTCCAGACCACTGGCATGGATTGAACTCTCAGGCAGTGCCCTGGCCTCCAGTTCCACGGCCCAGGTCTTCCCACTGTGGAGGCCAGCTTCACTGGGAACGTTTGGCTGTGGTGGCGAGAGTGGAGTTATATCCTGGGCTGGGGCTTCCTGGGCTACAAACACACAGTTGCACGAGCCTCTGTTTTAGCAGTGTGGATCCCGCTGGGCTGGTGTGGCTCAGGCCACTACCCAGTTCAGATTTTACAACAGGAGGAGAGGGAAGCAGCAGTCCCCGGTACACATGGCCAGGCTGGTAGCCAAGCCTCTTCCTTTCCTCTGGTTCTCAGACACAGAACCCTCTAAGGCACTGACCTGGGAACTAAGCAGGTGGTAATGTCTACCAGGCCACAAGTCACTGTGGTGAGAGAGTGACAGAGCGGTCACCATGGTGACGGGAGTAGAAGCCTTTGGCCATCAGTCCCAGTTTTCTGCATGGTAGCTCTAATGACAGAATGGTCGCCATAGAAACCACAGGCCCTCTCAGGAGCACAGAGGCCCTGGCAGGAGAAATCTACTCCACACCTGGTAGGCACTGACTGTGACTGAGCCCAGAGAAGAAAGCTGGGCGTGAGGGACACGGTTACCTGTTGCCTCCTTACTCAAAAGCCATCCCCAAGCCTCTGAAGGGAAAGACCTTTTCTGCTGAGTCTGTCTAGAGGCCACCAAGCCCTCACAGCTCAGCATAACTGGAAGCAAGTCAGTCAACACTGGGGACAGTTCCCTGGAACCCCATGGCTCCTCCTGGAGAACGCTGGGCCTGAGGAGGCCTTGGTGGGAGGCATCCAAAAGCGAACAATGAAAAGAAGGAAGCTGTGACTTCAACCAGCTGAGGTGGACTGCATTCTCTGAGGCCTGGTGCTGGCTGTGACTCTGCGGGAAAACCTGGGCTATTTCTGCTCTGGAAATCTGGTGGGGAACACTGAAGGGTCCCAGCTCACCCGGGCTGGCAGCTGCTCAGATGCCGGATGATCGAACCAGGATGGAGGCCGCCAAGAAGGAAAAGGTACCTACCTCATTTTAGAATCATCCATTTGCATGTTCCCAACACTCAGAGGTTTGGCCACCACCTGTGAGGTTCACATCTCAGGATTTGCTTTTATGGAGAGGATCTTTAAGAGAGATGTGGACAGAAGCACTTGCGGGGCAGAAAGACCTCTGCTTCCTAGACTGGCAGCGTGACCTGGGAGCGGAGCTGCACAGAGATCTGGGAAGCAATCTGCCCAGAGACTCTGAGGTGGGGGGAGGGGAGTCAGAGATCCTAGTGGGGTGTTTGGTTGCCTGAAGCATTAGTGGGACCAACCTACCGCCTGATTTTGAGGTGGCACTGAACAGTCAGAGGCCTCTTCTTGCAGGGGGCCTGAGGGCTGCTGCCCCATGATGAAGAGCATAGGGTAGTCCCTTTCCCCAACAAGAGTTTCAGATGTTTCTGTACTGGCCCTGGGTGGAGCATTGAGCAAGCAAAGAGATGAGGACTGGGCATGTTTGCTATGAAACATGAATGTCCCCCTGTTCTGGGGACGACAGAATTCCCATTCTGAAGAGAGCAGGATTCAGTCATTTGGGGCACGGTTCCCCTGGTTTCTCTCCCCTTTGTGAGAAATGTCAAGGTCAGCACAAACACCCCCTTGCCTGTTTCTGTCAGAACTGATGATGTAAGAAGGAAAACAACCCTCCAACCAGCCTGAGTGAGAGGGCCCACATGGTATAGGGAGCAGCAGGCCAGGACCCCAGCAAATCCCTCATGTGCCTGCCACTGGTGCCCTGGTTTAGTTAGGAAATGCCAATGAGGACCACTTCACAACCCTTGAGGAAAGTAAGCTGGTGCCTTTAGCACAAGGTGGCTGGAGACAGAAGATGGTGAATGTATGGGTTGGTGATCTGGTGATTTCTCCATACTGGGAAAGAAACTCTGGAGTGTCGGCATATGTGTTCACCTCATTCGGGTAGGCACTGAATCACTACAAGAAAGGCCTGACACCCATTTAAGGTCTGGATCTTGCCCACTAGAAGGGAGATGTATGTATGTATGTATGTATGTGATGTATATGTACATATATGACATATCACACACACACACACATCTTGATAGTTTCCTGTTTGTTTTCATTTCTACCACTCCTCTTTGGAGAACTGCAGGGCCTGCTCTCCTTGTAAATTGCTGTCTCTATGTCCTGGCTTCCCAGGACTCCTTTGAGGTGTCCAAGATTCTTGAAAGCACACACACGAGTGTGTTTTTCTATGTCTAGTGTGTGCATAGAGGTCCCTGACTTGGCCATGCAAGGCACAGGTAAAGACTCTCAATAGCTGATGTAACAAGAAGCTGCTGGCAAGACTGGATTCAGAAGGCATGAAGTGAACTACCGTTTCCCCCAGACTCATCCGCTTCCCAGTTCCCATTCTCATCTCCATAGGCGGTGTATGCCCACACCTCTACCCTGTAGCCTCTGCTACTGACTTTCTACATCTGGGTCTTCCAGGTGGACTCTTCAGCAGCCCGAGGCCAGATCTGTGCTTCTCTCTCTCTCCGCTGTATGAGTCTGTCCTTGAGGGAGGTGATGTCTGGACGTCAGTGGGCAGACAGGCCAGGCTGGATCTAGAGGCTGCCACTTGGCGTCTTTGGGCCTGTGACTGATTGCTAATTAATTAGAACAGTGATGTTTGCCTGCATAAGCTGCTAAGAGGAAGGAGAACTGCCTGTCAGGATGGTTAGCTGCAGAGCATAAGAGGGGTAGACACACCAGAAATGTGGGCCCTGAGCTAAAGGGACCTACAGGTCCTACCCTGCGTAATGGGAGTCTTCTGTTGCCACCAAACGTAAGAACTTAAAACAGCATGCACTTGTTATGTTAAAGTTCTGGAGTCCAAATGGATCTTTTTAAAATAAAGACGTCAGAACTGGCTCCTCCTGGGCACTGTAAAGGAATCCATTTCCTTTCCCCTTCAAGTGTCTCCAGGCCATCCAAAGGCCTGACTCCTGATCCTTTCTAACATAGTCAGAGTGGCAGCTGCATCTCTCTCACCTCTGCTCCCCTCATCACAGTCTCTGCCTCTCCTGCCCGCTTGGGATAACCCTGGCCCAAACAGATAAGCCAGGATGACCCCAGTCACTAAGTCACATCTACCAAGCCCTCCCCACCACATCAGGTGGCATGCTCACAGGTCCCAGGGGACATCTGTAGGAACCATGACTCTACCCCTTCTACTGTCCTGTCTCCCACATTAACACCCCTCAACCATGAGCTCTTTGACTCTCTAACCCCACCAGCATTATGCATCATTAGCTCACTGGGTTTGAGAACATACTCCCTTGTCAGAGCAGATGCTCCAAGTCCATGCCACACCCCCATTGGCAGTTTTGCTTTATGATTTCATGGACCTGTGGCCTACAGCTGTCCAAAAACATTATGTGTAAAATTTTAAAAATAAGCCAACAAGTTTTAAAGCCTGACTTTTAGTTATGTGCACATGCGTGCCTGTGTCTGGGAATGTGCGGACGTGAATCCAAATGCCCTGAGTCTAGAAGAGGGCCTCAGATCCCTTGGAACTGGAGTTACAGGTGACTGTGCAACACGGGTGCCAGGAACTGAACTCTATCCCTTTGAAAAAGCAGTATGTGCTCTTAAGTGCTGAGCCATCTCTCCAGCCCCCCAGCATAAGTTTAAAATTGCATGTTGCTGTGTGTAGTATGATGAAGCATCTCACATACGTCTCCTTTGTCAAGTGCGTCCACTATTTACTGTATTGCAATACATAACATAGGCTATATTCGCTACCTGCCCAATGGTCACTTGGAAGCTGTCTCCATTATCAGATTGATTGACAATAGCTCAAACTTGTGTTCAAGTAACATTTGTGTAGTAACCTAACTGCTTCATGATGCCTGGTGTCATTCCCGCATCCCATCTCCTTAAACAGGTATTGAATCCCCTCCCCTCCCGTAGGATGGGAGAGTACAATAGGGCACTATGGTTTTTAGGTTTGCTTTTTGTTTTGATTTTTTGTTTGCTTGTTTTGGGTTTTTTGAGACAGGGTTTCTCTGTGGCTTTGGAGGCTGTCCCGGAACTAGCTCTTGTAGACCAGGCTGGCCTCGAACTCACATAGATCTGCCTGCCTCTGCCTTTCACGAGTGCTGGGATTAAACCCGTGTACCACCACCACCTCGCTGAGCAGTATGTTTTGAAAGAAAATTTATCATGAGATATTTTTATAATTAATCTGTTTTATTACTAGTTATTGCTGCTAACCTCTTGCCATGCCAAGTTTATAAATTAAATTGCATCATGGGTATGAGTACATAGGAGAAATGTTGTATATATAGGGCTCTTTGTCTCCTAAAGTCTTCAAGTATCCACTGAGGATCTTGGATGCACCTCAACCCAAGGATAAGAAAAGCTTATTTTACATACAGTTTTAATTAAATTTTTACTTTTAAATATAAAACAGCCACATGGGCAGCATTGAGGAGGATAAAGGAGCAGGGTGGGCTGTGCTCAGATTTTTCCCACTATTATAGTCTCTGGTTCCTGGGGGCCCTGGGAAGAGGCTAGGGCTTCCAGATTTGGTGAATAAAAAATTAGGATACTCAGTTGAATTTGTTTTTAGATAAACAACTAGTGTCTCATTATGCATCCCAAATACCCCATAAGCACTATATTTTCCTTGCTAAATTTAAGGAAGGAGTAACTGCCCCATCTTTCTGGGGGAGCTGATTCCATTTGAAAAGCAAGTCTCAGAGTGGGTGTGCTTGTGAGCTGTTAGCAGCCATTTCTGAACCTTAGGGAGGGGCCTTGGCCCGCCACGTACCAAAGTATCTGCAGAAATATTTGCAATGAACAAGATGATTAGTCATACACAAAACATGTCTATTATAGAACTTATCAAGTGTTAAGTAACTAGATAGGTGATTTTGAAATTGCTTTATGTCATGTGTAAATATTTAGTGGCCTGATTTACCTGGAGAGTGTTTTAGTAATAGTTAGTTCCTGGGTGGGTCTCATACCTTCTCTCACTTTTAACCCTGGAGTACGGGGCTCCTGTACAGTAATTCTGTCTTCGGTAAATTAGTTCCCCAATGTATTTCTCAAACTGGCTGCAAAGGGAGCAAGAGAGACACCTCAGTTAGTAAAGTTCTTGCCGAGGAAACATGAGGACCTAAGTCTGCCTCCCCAGCACCCCAGTAAAAGCTAAGCATGGGGTTATACGCCTGAAATCTCAGAGCTGGGAAATTGGAGATCAGAGATTCCTGAGGCTTGCTGACCAGATAGTTTAGCCAAATCAGCAAGCTCTAGATTGAGAGACAAACCTTATCTCAAACAAGAAGGTGGCAAGGCCAGTGAGATACTCAGTGGAGAATGGTACCTTCTGACAAACCTGCTGGTCTGAGCTTGGTCCCCAGAACCCACTTGATGGCAAGAGAGAACTGACTCTTGAAAGTTGTTCTCTGACCGCCTCAGGTGCATGTGCGCGCATGCATGGCTGCAAAAATCCTTCACTCCCCCAGGAAGTTTAACCCTTCACTCCCCCAGGGGCACTCTGGCTGGGGTTATCTGGAGAAAGTCAACAGGTAGAGTGGATAGCTTCCTTGACTCATTCAGACATGGCCCAGCCCACTCTGTTAAGCCATCCCAAAGACCTTCAGCCTTCTTGTAAGTGGGCAAAGTGGCCTCTTCCATGGGTTTGGATGGTCAGATGTTTAGGGAAACTAACCTGGAGGCAACTTGACAGAGAAAGCAAGCTTTAGGTTAGGAGAAGGGGTTCTATGAGCAGATCTTGGGGCTCAGGGGGAACTTGTGGTTTAATGTGAAATGTCCCCCATGGGCTCGTGTATCTGAACACATGGTCCCCACCTGGTGGCACTGTTTGGGAAGGTTGTGAAATGGTTATGAGGCAGGGCCTCTGGGAAGGAAGTGGGTCACTGGGAGTGGGCCTTGAGAGCATATAGCTTTGTTCTATTTCCTGTTTAATCTCTGGTTCCTGAGTGTGGATACAATGTGGCCATACAGC